CCAGTCTCGTCTCTGCTCTCCTGCAGCCTTGCAGCCATGCCACCATGTCGCCCAAAGCACCAGGCGGAGGTCTTTATATAGAGTCAGTAACAATGTATTGCCCACACATATGTAGTGAGCTAGCCAACCAGGGCTAGGTGAGAATCCTGGCCACAGGAACCTTCACTTTATCCACATCAAGTCATAGCTTAACTCTCATTACCCTGCAAAATACATCATGAATTGTGGCTATTTTTGCACACAATTTTCAGATAACCCGAATTAAAACTGATTCATTTATTTCTCAAGAAATTGCTTACATAAATGAACAGAGTTCATGTTGTTGCTACTGGCAAACAGATATTGCCACTTGCCCTAAGTTTGTGGCTCAAAACAGACCTGATTTATTCCTCCAAAGTAACTATAGTTTAGGAAATCGGACGCTCTGGCAAATCAGTATTTATATTTATCATGAGCAATGACTCATTTGCTTGCAGTGAATGAGTCTCAAAAGCCAACCAGCTCAAGGAGAGGATGGTCCATGCAAAAAGAGATTACATGACTAGCGAGACCAATTTAGCCACTTTATAGTAGAAGTTGTTGTGAATTGCTCAGAGGTTTTCTAAAGCACACAATGTCACTGGCTCGACTTCCCTGGCTGCCAAATTGGAGGAGCCAAGAGAGATGGCATGCTCTTGATAAACAGTTCTGCAGCTGTTGAAAAAAGTCAAGTGGTTTAGCAAGTTCGTCTAGGAACAACTTTTCGCCTCCCAGTCCGCAGGATCACTCTAGATCACAGAAAAACCGATTGCTCTGAGTAGGCCGACTATGTTAGGCAAACAGCTTTCAGTTCTGAGTCTGCCTGTCATCCTTCCTTGGAGCACAGAGAGCCACCACTTGCAGAGGAAGTTTCTGACTAGCCTAGCAGTGCAAGGAAACTCAGTGAGAGGTGCATTAAGACCCAGATAAGTCAGGAAGTCACTGAACTTGGAAATAGAGGAACAGCATTCTTTCAGATCATTCTCTAAGCTCCATAGTTACCACCTCCTAGATTTCCTTCATTATAAAGCCTACACAATGTTCTGCATCCCTACGGCAGTTTTGTTTGCCTAACTGACATAAACATGTTCAAGCACAAGGGTCATTTTTTTTTCCTTCATGTTGCTTCAAAATTCCTGCAATAAAAAAAAAAAAAGGAAACTGCATTTAACCAAACATCAGAGTGCCAATATATTTAAACACATATTAGCACATATATTCCAATATAGAACTATCCAATATAGATGTTTCTACTTTATAAATCTGATTATCCCTTTCAGAGTCATCTTTTGTTGGTAACATAGGGTACATGTCAAAAGAATTGCAACAACATTTGAGATCTGACACTTGAAGTTTCAAAATTGGATGACATGGCTAGACCACTGCTTCTCAAATTCTGATGTGAATGTGAATCCCTGGGGATCATGCTGCACTCAGGTTCTTTTCTTCATTGCTGGCAGGTTCCCAGGTGATGGCCCTGCTGCTACCCCATTGAAGAGCAAGGATAGAGGTGAATTCCAGTGTAGTACAGAGCTTATCAAAACTAGTATAGCTACCGCACATCTGAAAGGGGTTTCTAGAGCTAATGCCCACTGGAAGAGTGATGAGTAGTTTTGCATGCAAAGTTCTACCTCTGAAGTCATTAAGACTTGTGTTCTAAAATGGGCAGAAGCAAACGGATAATCATATCTAACTTGATTGTTTATAGTTCATGATGCGTGATCAAAACTGAAAGTTTCTGTGATATGACTGACTGCCCTTGCACTGTTCACCATGTAAGAATTTGTTCACTATGTAAGAATTCGTTCGCCATGTAAGAACTTGTTCGTTATGCTTCAGAAGATTGGAGACTGTTGAGAATTAGGCTTGGGGTTGATTAATGATTGTGCATTGAGTCCCCTATACAGAATTTTATTGTTGTTAACAACCATTTGATCAATAAATATGAGAGATGCCCTCTCAAAAAAAATTAAAAAATAAAATAAAAAGGGCAGAGGGCCCACTGGAATTCTGCTCTTGCCCATTATTGGCATTGCTTAATCATTATTCCCCAGGCTGCAAGAAGTTTTTCTTTCTAGGAATCTTTTGCTTTTTACAGGCATATTCCATGTCCCTGTTCCTGTGCTCTGTACTTTTTTTCAAGTACTTCTTTCTACTCATCTTTTCCTCTATTGGATATTCCTGAAGACATTCCTTATGCTCCATTTTACTCAAGAAATATACCTTTAGGATTATCAGGATACCATTGAGTGGGCAGGTCCCAGCACTGCAAATTCCAAATTTGGGCCAGACAAGTCTGATCTCCTCATTTAAGGCAGGACCTGGAGGGGCGTGAGCCACACAATAATGGAAGGAGAGAGCTACGTTGAGACAAGAAAGTGGAATCATTATTGACGCTCAGCCCTGGGGAAAAAGTTTGAGATTCATCAGCTCTGTAAAATTTCTGCAAGACAATCAGACTAATTCATAAAGACATAGGAATAAAGATATTTATCAAAGCAATTAAAAGGAAATAATCAAAATATCCATCAGTAGGGGAAGCAGTTAAATACATGTGTACATATTAGAATATTAGGCAGCCATTAGAAATGATGACATCTACATTAATTGACAAGATAAAATGTCTGTGATACAATTTGGAAAGCAAGGCAGGTAACAATTGCATAATCCCATTAAGGTCTTGTATCTGTGTTGGGTGTGTGTATAAAAAAAGATGAAATGATACATTCTAAACTACACTTGAACAGTTAACTCAGAAGTGTGCATAATGTTTGTTATCCTGCATGTATTCTTCAAATATTTTTCATAATGCATCATTTTAAAAATAACAAACAAAGCTATTTCCATTTGAGGGGGAAACACCTACTCAGCAAGTATTTATGAAGCATGACCATCTGGGGTGGTTGGGAAGTACCAGCAGTTTTGTGAGTCATTAGTGTCAATGTTTAATTCTCTTCTGTGTCATTTTAATTTCAACTATAACTTCAAACTTTCAGGCAGAGATTGATCATCCTCCACAGGACATCACTTTGACCAAAGGGCTTTCCTTGACAAAATTGCGGATGATAAGCAAATAAAAACCAACATCATCATTAACTTTAATGCATTCTGTCAATGACCTCTTCACCACCCAATTAGGAAGAAGGAAGAAGGTCCATTTTTGAAGTTCACAAGTATATTCTAACTGCATTGGACTGACCAAGCATGGCAGCTAGTCTTCAAAGATGCCTCCACCATGAAACACATGTCCCAGCATTCATGGTGGAAATGACACTGTGTAATGTCGCTGCAGCGTCTGCCTGGGCCTTCCGGATTGTTAATTCTGGGGAAGTCCAATGGTGATGGAAGAATTCCAACTACTGTGAGATGGCCAGGCTGTGGAGAGCCCAAGGCAGCTTCCGAGAGAGGCCACATGAGCAAAGAGATGCCTTATCGGCCCCCAGATCCATCCCAGTCCCGCTGCCACAGCCCAGGCACCAGACACGCAAGTGAAGCAGCTCTCCCTGACTCTTGCTGCAGCTGCATGAGACGACAAGTAGGAACCATCCAGCGAGGCCCAGTCAACACACAGGATTGGGAGAAATAGTGGTAATAAACTGCTGTTTTAAGCTACTGAGTTTTGGGGTTTGCTATGTTCCAACAGATAACCAAAACACCAAGAAAAAAACCCACAAAGACCTTTTGTCATTAACCCAATTGCTTTTCTCCATTTTTCCACTTTAATTCAGAGTTTCCTACAAAATCTTGAGTAAACAGCGAGTCATTTGGATGGGGCACATTAGTGTCAGTTATCATGAAAGGTATGCAAAGAAAGAAGGCATTACACCCACTAAAAGAAAAACACATTAAACTCTGATGGTATTCTAAAATATGAAAATAAGAAATGGCTAAGGATTCCCTTCCTGTGAAAAACAAAGCATGGCGATGGAGCAGTGGAAAAAATAGACTCCACACAAAATCCCCCGTGAATCTTGTGTTTGTTTGTTTTCCCCCACCACATACTTTGACCCCTCATAGAACGTAAACAAAATTCCCAAGGCCAAGGAAGGCTTATCACTTAAGATGAAGGATTACAGCATCTTAGTGCAGTGTAAGAGGGGAAAGATATCAAAATCAGTATAATAGAGTCCACCATCGTTGGAAAGTCATTTGAATGATGTATGCAGAAGTAAGATTAGCCCTCCACTTTAGATTCTAATCCTGAAACGCTGTCTACCTGAAGTGAAATACAAGGGCTTTTAAAGGAGTCCACCCCTGATTCAGCAACATCAGCCTGCTTCATCAGTGATCAAGATCAAAGTAAATGTGCACCTCCAGGTGTAACTGGTGCTCCACTCCAACTGCTAACATTAAAGTCTAGCAATTCTCTAAACTGGATTGAGGTGGATAAAAGTCAAATAGGTCTAGTCACTCAGTTTATAAGAGGCATCAGAGGATTCTGCAGCCCCAGGGTATTTACTTGTACTAACACTTTCTCTCTTTCCCAGAACATCTCCATCAGGGTCCTGCCCGATGGCATAAAGCAAATTCTCTAATACTACGTACATCACGTGTAGGAGCAGGAAACATTGGAATGACTAGGTGGCCTGTTTAGTGTCAGGAACACAGGGGAGACAAAAAGTCTTGGTCTTCATCTTTTCATTTAGGCCCTCTGGACTCATCCCCACTACAAGCCATCTGATTTTAATAATGAAATATTGGCCTTCATTTCTAACCTAGGAATACTGACTATAAGAATATTAAGTCTGATGTTCATTAGAGATCAAACAACTTTCTAATGAGTCTTCAAGACTCTGATGCAGTTGTTTTGTTATGTTTTGTCCCATTATGTTGTGGAAGTAGGGTAGGAGAGGTGGGGAATGGAAAGGTGAGTAAACAGTTCAAGGACAGCCTTTTCCTGTAGAGCTTTGACACCTAAAAGCAGCATTTGTGGAACCGAGGATTTCCATGAACAATTCATATACAGACTAGCTGCACTTTTTTAAATGTCTTTTATTGGTTGTACATTTTCTTATGAGATCAACACATCATTTCTTTCAAGGACACCTTGCTCCTGAATCCTTATTTGTCCTAGCTGTGAAAGTCACAGCAAGCACTTGGACACAAGGAGGTGGCGGGTGTCTTTTGCCATTATGGGTCTTCTCTTTCAAATTGTTGCTTGGGTCAGTTCATAGATTGACACAACACTGAACACGACACACACAGTGTGAAGTTTTACACACACACACAAACACCTGGAGACCAGTTCCAGTGTCTGCAGCTTGTTCCTTCCCCCTCAGCAGCAGTTGGAGACTGAAGAATATCCTGAGATAGAAAATCAACGTGTAAGCTCCCCATTAACAGATGGGTCTAAGTTTGACTGAATCTCCCAATTTCATTTTCCTATTGAGGTCGTGGGAGGGACAAGGGGCCAGAGCAGTTGGCATATGAACCATGTAACAACCACTTAGTTCAACAGCTCAACCATTTCCTTGGTCAGAAACATGGGTTCCAAGAACTATTCTGTAGCACATCAGATCCTTACTCTCCTCTACATACGCTCGTAGATCAGAAAAGAGGAGGGGAATTATAAAATCATAAAGTTACGCTTTTTACAAGATACTGTGACTGGAGACGTCACCACAGAATGACCAATAAAAGGCAAAATTACCCCCACCTTTGGCAATTATTATAATTCCTTGTTTATTGACCGAGAGAGGCCAATTATCCAAGCTATGAAGTATGCCTCACCAATGTGACTTGCATAAAAAGGTGAATTTCTCAAGAATAAGGACCTAGGACAGGTTGTTTCTCCAAATGTTAAAAACAAACATGATTTCTGTAAAGCCACGTTATCCTTCAATTCTGTATACTTGTGATCTATTAAAACTTAACCTACATGAACACCAGTCCTTGTACCCACCCCAACTCCAGTGCATCATCAGCTCTCTCCTTGGTTTCTGGGTTTTGAGGTAACATCGCGAGTTGCAATAAGCAGTAGTTCGAAGGAGAAAAAAAAAGGAACGATACACACAAGCTGGGTAACAGGAAAGCTAAGCTAAAATGAAAATGCACAGGGCCACCAAAGCCAGTAGGATAAAGACAACAAAAGGCATGCTTCCCCACAAAACAGGTGTTTTTAAATGCAATCCTAGTGCTTGACGGAACTTATCAACTGACAGTCATCATTTACCTTTCCCTATACAAGATGAGGCGTGTTTCATGCTGAGGAAGCTGCCCCCACACGTTCCCACATACGAAAACACAGAGTGAAGGATATGCCCCCAGCTCCTTCCTCCCTTCTGCAGCTCACAAGTGCTATGTTCCCAGGGCCAGAGCATAAATGTAGCATTCACCTCGAAGGCACGGAAACATTCCACTCACATCCTTTAGAGGTTTCTACTTTATGAACCTCTAATGAATTCCATGCTGCCTCACTCATAAAGAAAAGATCCATGAAGAAGAGATGATGCCTACCAGGGAAGGCTAGCAGCGTGCTGGACACAGCAGGAAAAGTGAGTCCACGAGGGAATCCACAAAACCATAGTCAAACTTCTACTTCGAACTCTCCAGAGACACAGTGCTGGAGAAGGGTTTCAAAGGATAGGGGTGTGGGACCTCTCCGATCTTTCAGAATATTTCAGGTACCAGGAAGAGCTAGCAAAGCCTCCCAACTAGCATATGGAATTACTTCATTCTAGCATCAAGGGATTGTAAAGACCAGGCATGTTTCCACTTGCCCAACGGCTGTCTTTCCGATAAACATGGATTAAAAACAAATTGGGGTGCCACATAGGAAAACAATCAATCATATATACAAATGAAAAGAGAGCCATCATAAAATTCACACAATGTAAGAAAAAAGTGTGCGGTTTTTTTTCTTACAAAGACCAGATTAATAAACAGAAGAAGCATTTTCAACAGTGAAATCAAAACACAAAGGAAGTGAGAAAAACTCACCTATTTTACTAAAATTCTTGCAAAGTTCAATTCCATAGAGAAGACATATTAGCATCTCATCAAGATTTTCACAAAATATATAGAAAAATATTCACATGTTTAAGATTTTGAACTACATCCCTAATACCTCTTTCAGCTTTAAATGACTCAATGTGATGATTCTGTGTAGTACGAAATATGTTCCAGTTGTGGAAGTTAATTACATAAAGACAGCATTTTTCCTCTAAAAATACCTGTTATTTTATTAAAACTGCAATTTCATCATTTTGGTTTGTACAGAAAATCACTCCACTCAGGAAATCAATTTAAGACTGAAGAATAAACCAGACACAGGGGTCCTACGACTGACAAATTGTCTGAATTTTCTTAATCAAACCTCCTCAGGTAGTTTTTACACAGAAATTGGCCAGGAACTCTAGACATCGCTGCCAAATACAACTTTTGACACATACAGAGTTTGAAAATGGCTGCTGGAAAACCCCAGCTGTTAAATTTGATTTAGTGGCTGAAGCAGCACTATCAGAATTCACCACAGACTTGTTATGTGTGCAGAGAAGGCACCTGATGTAATTCAGTTGACATCTAAGCATTCTCTTGTATTCAGTTCACGACAGATAACCATCACAATTTCCAGCGTCCACAGGTTGTACCAGTTTCCCATTACCGTTCTCTGCCTGTAACCTTTATAAAACTCAACAAGGTAAACTGTCAGATGGGTCCCTCCTTTGTGCCAAAAACGGTCCAAAGAGCTTTGCTGTTTCCTACCTGTCAAGAAAATTACAACTGCTCCTGCAAGAAATTTAGGAATCCCACTACCCACTGAGAGCCAGCCACACCGCTCCTTGTCACGGAGCTCAGGTGATTCTCAACCACTTTAGAAAAATAAGCAATTTAAGGACCTATAGGCACAGCTGTCACATCGATTTTTGCATACGTCTCTCAAATGATTCACACTTAAAAATGACAATAAATGGCCTTCTTTTCTTGTCCTTCCGCCTCTAAGCCCTGTTCACATACTCAGTACAGCAAAAGCCAGGGACTTACAGATATTGTTGGCTACAAAATTTCCGAGATTCTTGGGCTGTTCAGATTCCAGTTGTCATTTCATTGGAAGTTCCCAAGCCTTTAATAGCTGCAGAGACTTCCAGTTAAAGGGGATGATTTGGGAGGATGGGGGTTTCAGATTGGGCAAGGTTGACGTCCATTACACTCTTCTCCCCTTCCCTTCATGGTGAGAGGCCCACAGGGGCACCCCTGAATGTAGTCTGGAAACACTTCCGTGCCCTCAACTCCTACCGTCCCAAATACTAAACACACACTAGGAGAGAAAACTTGAAATCAGACAAAAAAATAAAATAAGATAGCTACTTTTTCTGCACAATTCACTGCTTCTGAAAACTCAAACTAGCTTTGAGTATTATGTTATAAAATGACCAATTCTAGATCTTGTAGTGAAGACCTGTAGTGTATTTCTAAGGATGTTCACAGCTCCCTGCATTGCGGAAGAAGTATATTCACCAGACAACCCTTGGTGTCCACTTTCCTTTAAAACGTCCACCACTGGAACCAAAGATTAAGGGGCTCTTTGTATTCATATTTCTTTACTCAGAAGGTAGCTGACAGGTGGGCTGGAAACTCAAAATGCTGTGCCACCCCTCCAATCCTTTACCTCTTTTCTGAGTGACATCAGCTTCAAACAGGGACTGTAGACTCAGTAACAGTAGGGAAACAAGAGAAACGTTTCTAATATCAGAAGCAATGCCATGCTCTGAATCGTCTCACCATTCAGTGCTCTTAAGAGGAAAAAAAAAAAAAGACTAGGTTTTTGATAGGTTTTCCCCTAGATCATCTCTGGAATAATACAGAAAATAAGGGCTCTCCCATGGGGTTCATAGTCCAGCACTGCTCTTTACATTTACCTTTTCTCACAGCCCCCAAACAGAATTTCCCATCACTGTTCCGTCTTAAACTCCGAAGTCCACAGCAGTCCCCTGAGGCGGTGGCCTGACATGCTTTGTTGAAATAGCCTACAGACTCCAATACAAATGCCGACTTTGACACAATGATGCTGACTGGCCACAGTACAATATTACTTAAAAGGAACAGATACCCAATCCAGATGCTCCCGTTTACAGGCCAAAGAGAAGTTTTATTATAAGGTCTTATATCTTGTGTGAAAGTTTTACTAAAAGTTCTTTTAGATATCGCTCACAATTTGGGAACAACGGAACCTAATGTTGGCAGACCGATGCCAAATTGTTGAATTTGAGTGTGGAGGTATGAAAACGTGGGGTCAGTTCCTTTCCACAGAAGTGTTAAGTCAGTTAAGGACACATCTGTGTCCAGCAAGGAAGAACAAGAAAATGTAATCAAGGAAAACAGAAAAGACTGTGATGGCTTGGCCGAAGCCACTAACTCTGGGGGTCGCTTAGGAAGTTCTATTTCCTTTATTCAGATACAAGTAAGCGCCTAAATTTCCCATGATTTCCCTGAACTCAGTCTCCAAGTCACAACAGCATTTGCCTTATTCCTTGAAAGAAACCCTAAAATCCCAGAAATGCAAAAGGGTAAGCTGGGGAAAACCTCTGCATATCAGGATTAATTGCTCACTGCGAAATCTGTCCATACTGGCAACTGTAAGAAAGAAATACAACGCAAATCTCCCCAAATCCAAATGTAAACTCCCAAGAATAAATGGTTCATTGTCCTTGTCCAAATGACAATGAGAGTGATGTCAAGATACTGACAGTCCCAGGGAACTAGAGATGGATATTTCTAAATCCTATTAACACATGTTCATGTTATGAGGTGACATTTGTTTCTTTTTTTTAAAAAGAAAAAGCCCAGCCACAAAGTCCTGGACTTTCTTTTGTGTTTCTACTGAGGCCCAAGTCCTCTTCAACTCAGATTGGAAAGGTTTTTAGAGAAATTTTGTTTGAGAAAGGAGTTTGGGTCAGGAACCGAAAGATAAACCCCAACTTATGGGTTGATTCCAAATGACTCTATCAGAAAGCCTGCGATGGTAGAATTATATTTGCATGGCTGTCATCAGTGACTCTCGAAACCTCAGAAAAATGACACCTCTTCATTGCAGACACCAGGAGCAGGTGGTGAGTGGTGTATGTGGTGGCTATGTGCTTCCCTCAGAAGGAGAACTTCATTTGGAAGGCTCTGGAATTCAGGTTGTTTCCCCAGGTGAAGAGAAAATGGTCTTTAGGTAAGTTGCCCATACTTAAACAGGCTCTCTTGAGGAGTTCCTGAGTGTCATTCTAAGTGTTATTTATGTTTGCCTGATGATACAGCAGGAAAACACAATGTTTCTGAATAACAAAGAAAACTCTAGCTATAAGTAAGATGTGCTGCACTGCTCTGAAAGAAGAAAACGGACAGAGCTTACTTAGGTGGCAGTTATTTGCATAGCATTCTGAGAGAAGGCAAAGCAAATTACACAGTTGTTCTCATCCCAAAGGAGCAGCAGATCTTTCACTAGAGGCCATGAGGCCAGAAATTCAACCAGGGCTGGCAACCCGAGATACTCCCATCAGAAAGGAGGCATTTTGCATAGGCTCCTTAAAATAGAACTTTACTGACGATTGAAAAAGGAGTAAGGTAAAGCAGCCTCATCTCTCCAAGCCCAAGGCAGGGTACTCAAGGGGTAGGGCTAAGTGTCTTGATACGGTGGCAGCCTAGAGCTCTATCTCCACCTCAGAACCAGTATTGTGACCCCCCCCAAACCATTCTTTCTTACTTTCTGAAAAGATGGCCTGATAGACCAAGTGAATGAATTGGAAGATTTTAAGAATTCTACCTGCCTTCTACTTCTGAGGTAAGTCTGGCCTCCCAAGTTTTCAAATCCTAAGAGACTACAGTCCAGGGAAAAGGAAAATCAAATGATCAGTGTCTGGGGGTCTGCGATTCTCCTTGCATGAGAAGCGCCCCACAGAGAGAAACAGGATGCAAAACTAAGAAACAAGAAGGCAATTAATGTCCAAGAGAAGAGTGTGCCTTTTATTTCCAAGTTGCAGTAAGTTACGCTGGTCACTACAGAGAAAAGGGAAAAGTACATATTCAGCTTCATTGGAATAAAACTGTCCCACTAGCTTCCAAAGCAAGGAATACTTACCAAAGAAATGAAGAGTCACTGTCCCTGGGACTACACAGACTCCACCTTTTCTGAGTTCCTTCTCCTGTCTTTATCTTCCTAACAGCAGCTGAGCTAAAGACTCACCAAATGAAAGAATTCTATGCACACAGTTATCAGGTGGAGTTTTGTATTTGATGTCTAGGACGAGTATTGGCAAATCATGGCCTGCGGGCCACATTCAGCTGCTCGTAATCTGCTTTTGGAAATACAGCTTTATTGGAACTCAGCACATGCTCACGCACTTACATAGTGTTTATGGATGCTTTCAGACTGAAACAGCAGATCTCAGTAGCTGCAACAGGGACTGTAAGGAACACAAAGCCAAAAATATTTATTATCTGGCCCTTTACAAAAATTAAAAAGTTTGCCAATTCCTGGTCTAGAAGGTCACAGTCCACATTCTACACAGCAGAGGTTATTGATTATCTGGGGCCTACAAACTGTCCTACACTCCCTTCCCCTCAACGAAAAAAAAGCTTGCAAAACTATGTTTTCCACATACTATGTGCATTTTCCTAGGGAAAAGGTCTTAGCCTTCAACAGATTCCCAAAGGAATCCAGAGTAACCCCAACCAAAGCCAAAAAAAACCAGAGAGTACCTTTAGCTGCCAGCACATTTAACAGTGCTAACACACACACACACACACACACACCACATACACACAGACAAGAAGAACATACCTTCTAGAATAAAATCTCTTTTTTTTCAGTTCTATCAGGTTTGGTAGCATCTTCTTTCTAGATTTTACTCTGGCATTTTTCCATCTGAATATGTGACTTTTCAGAGGTCCACTTAAAAACTGCTCCACCTACAAGCTAATTAAATAAAAATGGAAGATTCTTTTAAGCCAGCCAGTCTCCTTTAGTTCATAGATAGACGTGCAGAACACAAAATCCCTAACACAAGAAGGTCTAATGTATTTTACTAGATCTGACCAACAGCTCCAATGAATTTTATAAATACATGAATCCTACCTGTAAGGTCAGAGAGGAAAAACAAAGCCAAAACAAGCATTTGGGTGAGAAATCAGGACCCAGGCCAAAGGTGAAGTGTTAAAAAGACACCTTTAGAAGAAAGAGAATAGTTTCTCTGAGCAGAGGAGAAGCCTCTTGGTCAACAAAACAATTTTTAGTGTTAGACTAAGAAAACATTAGTCCCTCTCTGTCTCCTTTGTGATTTTATTCCAAAGATACCAGGTCAGGTGCATTTGGAGACACCAAGGGCCTCATGAGTCTCCGTGTTGGCCTCCTCTAATGCTACTATTTCATTTTCTAATATATGACGTCCAGCATTGCTGGACTGATGGACGCCAAAGGACAGCAGCACCTCAATTAAGAAGTTCATCAACCAAAGGCAAGCAAAACCAATAATACTGATGAAACACAAAGAGTCAAGAAACATCGAGAGTTGAGTGGCCAAGAATTCCATTTTGAGGGTCACCAACAGTAGGCAGTGCAGACATCAATATAACGTAATCTGTGGTCCCCAAACTGTGTGCTCAGGCACCCTGGGGCACCACAGTAAACTCCCAGAGACACCACACAAAATTGCAAAGTTTTGAGAAAAACACAGCAATATGTATCGGACATCATGCAAACCTCTACTATTAAGTTTTTTGGACCTAACTCTTTAATAAATGGAATTACTATTAAGTATTTATTTTGGTGTAGGGTACCATGTAACAAAAATTACTCCATCAATGGCACTATGAACAAAGAAAGTTTGAGAATCTTTAGCATGTGCATTTTTTTGTTTTTTTTTGTTCTTGTTTTGATTTTGTTTTTGGTTAGGCGTGGAGGATATACAAGAAGTGTAAAATACAAATACCTCTGAGTTATCCACATATATACTCATTTTCCATTTCAGATAGTTTAACCAAGATAGAAGCTGCTTATTTAACCAACTCATTCTGACTGTATAAGCGTGACCAAACACAGCCTTTAAAAAACTGGACTGTTCTTCCACATCAAGACCTTTAATCATGGCTATTAGATGAGAGCCAAGTGTGACACTGGGGACTGTCTTACTGCTATTCCATCATCAAATAACTTCATCTGTGTGAGTTCTTTCTTCTTTGGAATCACCATTTTGGGAGGCTCCACACTTAGTCCAGGAAGGTTGATTTTGCTTAAAAACCAATGTACACTTTTTAGGGAAATCCACATTTGAAATTATCTTCAGAGCCCATGATATAGTATTTTATAAAAGATTCAGTAATGGGGAAACTTCAGCTCTGAGGGCAGATTTGACGTCTAGAAACTGCCAACCACAACTTGGTTCTATGGGTCTAAGTCTGTTGAACAAGGGAGTTAAACCAAAGAAGAAAATACCTGGTAAGGGTTTTTGAACAAAATAAACAGCTGAGGAGTAATTTAAAAATGGTGATTACATGTTACATATGTGGGCGAAGGAAACTGATACTGAAGGCTTTTCTGAAAGAGAAGTGGCAAAAAATATTTTAGTAGCATTATTCACATAAATATGTAGTCTTTCAAGGAGGCTACTCTGAAAGGCAATACTGATCGATATGTACACATATATGGCAATTGTCTTAGAAGTCATTCACATTACTTTTTGGCACACCTCTGAAATCAACAGTATATATATATATAGAGAGAGAGAGATTTTTTATAAACATAAAGACAATTGATAATATGGACAGGTTATATGGTACCAAATCAAATACAGCTGGAAAAAAGAGCATAATCTTTTTTGTAAAGATATATCCACTTTCTGATACACTGGTAGACATAGACAGGACTAATAATCAGATGGTCCATGCTGGTAGTGCATTAAATATTTTGAGAACCATCCCTGAATATATCTTTCCTCTCCCTTTCTCTCTATCTTTATCTCTTTATATATGTATGTGTATTATACATGTATGCATAAATATGTATGTATGTACAGGACACTCCCAATTTATATCAACTTAAACATAGTTTATGCATCTCCACCTTTATTTTAAATTAGTTATTTAGAACTTATAACACAGTTCTCAAAAAAAAAAAAAAAAANACATCTCTTGAGGAGGTACTAGACCAGTACTCTCCATCCTGCTGCCCATCAGAATCATCTAAGAGGCTTGCAAAAAATACCAATTCCCAGGCCCTACCGTGGACCGATGAAATCCAAAAATCTCTGGGCCCTTGGCACTGACGGTGCTCCCAAGTTCCCAGTGATTCCGATGTGCACCTGGGTTGAGGGCACTGACGAGCCCCTCTACCTCGACATATTTCACCAAGAGCTCTGATGGAATGACCTCAGATTTCTTTCTACCACTTTCTCTTTTCATAAGTTGGGTAAATAAAGCAAGGAATACAGCTGTGGTTTTTTTTTCCCTCCCCATCTCAAAGGGAGAAACTTCTAGATTTGGGAAAGTGGGTGGGAAAGTGAATGGCTAGAATCACCAGGATAATACCCCTTTCTGGCTGAAAAAAGATGAGGGCAGAGGTAGTTTCAAAGCAGATGAAACTGATGTTTAATCAAACAGGTTACCTCTTGTAACTGAACACCAAGAAGTATAAGGAGGTGCCATACGCTGGGCAACTGCTATGAGCTAGAGGTCATGGACAAGGAGAGAATACAGAGAAAAACAGATGATTGCACTTCAAACTTTGAAAAGGGAAGATGGGGAGGATTTGAGGGAGTAATAACCTCCATATCTGTGAATCTCAGGCAAGGAATAAAACAGCGAGTGCCCTCTTCTTTTTAATCAAAACTCTCTGTCCCTGTACTCCAAGAGTAGTCTTACATAAGCACAATGTCCAAAGCAATGTTCCCTGGGTCTTATTGGTCTACAGTTTCCCTGTATCACTTCAATCCTTGATCCTTGAGCAATCCAGAGAACCTACAGGTATATGTAGCCATGAGAGCCTTTACTGATTCATCAGCCTGCTAGGAATCCACAGTGGAGCTGGCCTGCTACCATGAACAAGCTACTGCACGCTGCTAAGAAAGATGTAGCCTCAGCTCCACCTGTGGAAATTTGGCAGTCCCCTCCTGGGGATTCATTCAACTCTCCCCATTGTCTCCTCATCTGATCAAAAAACTACTAACTACCTTTAATTTTTCTTTTATTGCAAGTCCTCCCATTTAATAGTAAGGCTTCTTCACAGAATAAGAAAAAAAAGCGCAAAAGAGGATATTAACTACAAAGACAATCCATAGGGCCGAAAGTAAAGAAGGCACCAATTCTCTGTATGGTTTGACATGTCATTTCTTCTGGAGACTGACAAATGTCTCCCTTATTAAATATGGATGTTTACAGAAGCCAGCTGGCCAACTTGTGATTTATCAAATGCACGTGCATGCGCGCGCACACACACACACACACACACACACACACACACACACACATAAAAGGCTACACAGGTGATATAAAATCTCATCATGAATCACATTCCATTAAAACTATACCACAAATGTCAAGAGAACCAAACTTGTGACTCTTTGAGCTGTGATAAAAGATGGTGTTTTCCAAAGCTGAGAAAAGAGTCTGACCAGGACACCTTGCCACTTCACCTAAAATACATGGTTATTAACCCAGGATTGAGCAGGAATCCGGGGACACAACAACAGCCACAACAGCTGGGACAGATATTTCACAAGAAGAGCTCCTTGTTGACATTTTCATAATACTCCTACAGATGCATATTAAATAATTTCTTCTGGACCACAGACACAACTGAACTTAAAAAACAAAAGCCCTATAAATATTGCCAACCCAACCCTGTCTTTCATGTCTCCCTCCTGGCATAAAATGGAATCTTTTCAAACCAAGCACTTAAACATAAATATTAAAATAATACTTGGGACAAACTACAAATCTACTGACAATGTCATCACTATGATAGCACCTTTTTACCAGGGCCAATGCATTCGCTTTATAAAAGACCAGAGAAGTCTGAGAAGCTTAAGGACTCATAAGACACATCATTAAATATTTAATCACCTTTTGAAGTCCTAAGCCTTTATCATATTCCATCCATCTAGACAGTTCATTCTATACTATAGATTCCAAGGCCCCCATTGGAGGGGAAAAAAACAAAGAAAGTGGGGAGGAAAAAAAAAAACCTTCTGAGAGGCAGGGTTAAATTATCTCAAAGATGAGTTTCCATTGGCGCTTTAGTGAACTTGCTTCACCCCGTAAACCCACCAATCCACAGGAGGGTCAACTGATTAAGTCCATTGTTTTCAATCTCCAAGAATCAGTTTTACAAAAGATGCCACGTCTGTTGCTTTGGATTCGTGCAGGGTGAAAAATGGATGTTGCTGGGAAAGAAAAGAAAAAATACATGGTATTAATATTTGCCATTGACAACATATGAGATTAGCAAATTAAATGTTTGGTAAACAGACTGAATACCCCTATTAGGGCTGAGCTGTATCTTCCTCCCCCTGCCCAAATCAAATACACATCTAGGGATGCAAACATTTTAAAGATACCTCTTAGGTGCTATTTCCTCCCATTTTGATATCTGATTCCACTGCAGAGTACCTATTGCTTTAAAAAAATATGTATGTAATTAGGCTATATAAATCCCATCTATGATAAAGTACAAAGATTAGCTAATACAGCCCAAAAATGGATGTTGCTGGGAAAGAAAAGAAAAAATACATGGTATTAATATTTGCCATTGACAACATATGAGATTAGCAAATTAAATGTTTGGTAAACAGACTGAATACCCCTATTAGGCTGAGCTGTATCTTCCTCCCCCTGCCCAAATCAAATACACATCTAGGGATGCAAACATTTTAAAGATACCTCTTAGGTGCTATTTCCTCCCATTTTGATATCTGATTCCACTGCAGAGTACCTATTGCTTTAAAAAAATATGTATGTAATTAGGCTATATAAATCCCATCTATGATAAAGTACAAAGATTAGCTAATACAGCCCAAACTGTAACAAGTAACCCTGTTCCCTACAAAGTAATTTTAAACTGATAAAGAGGTAAAATAACGAGATATTTATTTCATACATTTATACACATTCATTTCTTGGGAAGTGGGTGGTAGAATGAGAAACCAGTTTTGTGGAACAAGTAAATGGGCAAAGCATTGCTTTCCCCTTGGCATTCAAGAGGTGGTTTGGACCGAAACAGTTCACAAAGCCATTTTCTCAGCCACACCTAACGGCCATGAGTTCTACTTATCTCACTCTCGATGAACAGTTGATCCATCTGCAAAATAACATAGACTGGCTAACTCTAGGCAGGGCCAGAGAAAATTCAACTTGGAGATTAAAGATTGATGAGCAAAAAAATGGTCTCTATGCATGCAGCTCAGATGCAGTAAACTTTACAAGAACATCAAGTCTAGAACTTTGCTGGGGGAATCGGCATTGTTCGACACAAGACGTGACACATGTCAAAGCATATAGAGAGAATATTTTGGAAGAAAAATGAAGCCACTTTCTCTGCATCAGAAAAATCCTCCCCCAAATGCTCAATTTTGTTACAGTCAATGCCCACCTATCACACCAGAACATTACATCTCTAATAAGAAGGAGATACGTCAGCTCATGATCCCCTGTTCTCACAGTGAAAACAGAACCATTCAAACAAGTAGAAGAGTATAATTCCTTCAGGTAGAACCTAGTACCATGTACCCCAACCACCCTCTCCCACCTAAAAATGGTCCCTACCTGACTGTCTAGTGGTTATTATTTTCAATGACTAGCTCAGCAGCTAAATCTGAGCATTTTTGCATGCAGACATCAGATGACTCACTCTGTTTCCCCTGACTTTGGTGATTTTAGTTTACAACCTTCATGTTGCCTAGCTGTAGGTTTTCTAATTATATTCGTTTTAAACCTGTCAGCAAAGGGCTGGATGAGTCAGCTCTGTGGGGAACTGAATGCCCACCCATGGAAGTTTTAGGAAACAATGCAAATGGGAAAGGAGCAAAGAAATAAAACCCAAAGGCAGGCAGGTGGTCACTGACTCAGAAAATAGAAAAGAGGCTTTCTGCTTTTGCCCATCTGAAGGTACAGGTTGGGTGTTGGCTCAGAGCCTGACACCCACGGTATTAACTGTGTATTCATTAGTTCTAAACGAGGGGCCCTTCATCCTGAGCTCCTTGGACAAATAAACAGCTTGATTTTTAATTACTAACCACTTACCCAGCACACTTACCAAGGGTTTGACCATCATGCTTATTAGCTTTCCCTCATCCTCTGGACATTTTGTGATTTTTTAAATGTACTCAAAAGTTTTTACTATCAAAACAGGATACTTCAAAGCTCAGACTGTCTCACTGGCTGTTTCCAATGCCCACCAGTCCCATCTTGTCTCTGGTTCTGCTGGCAACTCTTAGGTCAGGGGATACAGCCTGAGTCTGTGAATGAATTCAATATCCTGACCTGAAGTCTTACAAAACAGAAAAAAATCTTTGGGTATCTTTCAGTTTATTCTCAGGCTAGGGAAATGCTGCAAGAGCCAGAGGGCAGGGCCTGGGGAAAGCAGAAAAGCATGTCAAAATGGAAAATGTGACTTGCCTTCTTCTGTGGGTTTTGAGGCTATAAAAGTTGGGAGGAAACCCGGTCCCTTCTATAAGCAATGGACTAAGAATAGCAAGGGCAGCAAGCAGGAGTCGAGCAAATGAGGCACCCTGATTCGTTCCCCAGGGCGGGGTTTCTCCAAAGAAAAGCCAGGTACAGAAAGAGGAAGAAGGCTGTGCCACTGGGTGTGCTCGGAGAAAACACGGAGATCTATGAACACACTGTCAGGAACATCGGAACAAGCTGCAGTCCCCAGTGGTCTCCATATTCCATACACAACACCTCAGGCCTCAAGGCTATGATGGTCTATGGGTTCAGTCATCCTTGCTTCACACTGTGACTCAGTCTAGAACTTGCCAGAATATTTGAAGAACATGGGCAAGCACTTGCATTGCCTGGTTCTCATTTCTGGTGGTTATCACCTGAGACAGGAGTCAACAAGAGATGGGCCAGGTGCCAAATCTGGCCCACTGTCTATTTTTGAAATAAAGTTTTATTGGAACACAGCCATACCCATGTGTTTACACATTAAATATGGCTGTTCTTGTACAAGAACAACAGAGTTGAGTACTTATGACAGCCCACAAACTTAAAATACATACTATATAACCCTTCACAGAAAATGCTGGCTGGTCCCTATTCTAGAAGAACAAATCTTACTCAGTCATGCCCCACAGTAGGAGTTTGAGAGAATAGGGAAATGAGATGATCTTAGAGCATGTCTACCCCTCAATCCAAATTAGGGGGGAAAACATTTCAGATTTCCATAAGAGGTACATGTCTGGGTTGGGGCCTTAATTATAATGTTCTTCACCTGGAAAAGGGATTTTTTTTTTCCTGCCTTCACCAACTCCTATAATCTAAACAATAGCCTTTCAGCATGTGTTTTTCCAATCCTAAAGTCAAAGAGTTTGGACTCAGACTTTCCATTTAAAAACCTCAATTCCACGGGAAAGCAGAGAGCAGCTAAGGCCTTAAAAGGCAAGTCCATTTCCAGTACCACAAAGACAGATGCTATAAAAAGTAGAGGAGGCTCACATGACCTTACAACATTAATATGAAGGCTATAAATGATTACACTGTTAGAGTATATTAGAAAGGTAGAATTCACAGCTGTCAATGTACATTAAGCTAGAATTCAGCATTTTTTCCCAAGTGTGTTCATCTGAGGTCTCTTGGAGGGAAAAAAGTTCTTCATTTTAAATAGCCAGAACTATATAGCAAATGTTCTTTTATCTGAAAATAGTGACAAATAAGACAACTTAGAAATAGGATAACACACTTCATAGGACCCCACAGTAATCTCTCTATGTCTATTGTCCTTTATGTGAAATTAATTTTAAAATGCTCTGGGGGTTACGTAAGTACAGCCAGGACTGAAAAGGCCCCTGACTGGCTATTAAAAACATAATCAGGGAGGAAATACTCGATCCAAACATGTAGAATGCTGTGATCTTCTCAAGGGTTACTCATCTTTTCTTCCTCAGCTGTGGGTCTGGGACTTACTTTAATAGAGCCAGGAGAATCCTGAGTCCCAGGGGCTCCTTTATTAAAGAAGAGAGTGGAGGCCCAAAGAGATGCCCTTGTCTATTCTCAAACTTTTCCCAGCATTCTTTTATGGTCACCCAATTAGAGAATAGTTTAGACTTAAATCAAAACTTAACCAACAAAGAAGAACAAAGCTGGGGGTATCATGCTCCCTGACTCCAAGCTATACTATAAAACTAAAGTAATCAAAACAGTATGGTACTGGCAGAAGATGAGACCCATAGATCAATGAAACAGAATAAAGAGCCCAGACATAAACCCATGCATGTATGTTCAATTAATATATGATAAAGGGCCATGAATATACAATGGGGAAAAGACAGCCCTTTCAATAACTGATGTTGGAAAAACTAGACAGATACATGTGAGAGAATGAAACTTGATTACTGTCTAACTCCATACACAAAAGGAAACTCAAAATGGATCAAAGACCTAAATGTAAGACATGAAACCATTAAACTCTTAGAAGAAAACACAGGCAAAAATCTCTTGAACGTAAGGATGAGCAATTTTTTTCTGGATACATCTCCCCATGCAAGGGTAAAAAAATAAAAAATGAACACATGGGACTACATCAAACTGAAAAGTTTCTGTATAGCAAGGGATACCATCAATAGAACAAAAAGGCAGCCTACAGTATGAGAGAATATATTCATAAATGATTTATCTGATAAGAGGTTAACATCCAAAATAATAAGGAACTCATATGACTGAACTCCAAAAAAATAGATATAACCCAAATTAAAAATGGGCAGAGGACCTGAACAGACATTTTCCAAAGGAAGAGATATAGATGGTCAACACACAGGCACATGAAAAGATGCTCCACATCACTGATGACCAGGGAAGTGCAAATCAGAACCACAATGAGACACCACCTCACACGAGGTTGAATGGCCACCGTCCAAAAGACAAGAAATAACAAGTGTTGGTGAGGATGTGGAGAAAAGGGAACCCCTACACTGTTGGTAAGAAGGTAAACTGATGAAACCACTCTGGAAAGCAGTATGGAGTTTCCTTAAAAAACTAAAAATAGAAGTACCATATGACCCAGTAATTCCACTTCTAGGAATTTACCCAAAGAAAACAAAATACCTGATTTGAAAAGATAACATGCACCCTTATGTTTATTGCTATAGTATTTATAATAACCAAGATATGGAAGCAATCAAAGTGTCCATCAATAAATGAATAGCTAAAGAAGATGTGGTGCTTATACACAATGGTGTTATTCAGCCATAAAAAAGAAGAAATCCTGCCGTTTGTGACAACATGGATGGACCTAGAGGGTATTATGCTTGGTGAAATAAGCCATGCAAAGAAAGACAAATACTGTATGATTTCACTTATTTGTGGAATCTAAAAACAGAATAAAACAAAATGAAAAAAAATAGTGGTAAACTCACAGACACTTAGAAGTGACTGATGGCTATCACGGGGGAGAGGCTGGGATGGATAGTGGAGAGGGAGAGAGGGATAAAGAGGCATAAAAACTCTCAATCATAATGTAGGCTGGTCACAGGGATGGTAGTACAGCATAGAGACTATAGCCAATGATTCTGTAACATCTTTCTATGTTGACAGACAGTAACTAGACTAGTTGGGGTGAGTATTTAAAATGTGGGTAACTGGTGAACCACTGTGTTAAATACTTGAAACTAATAAAAGATTATATATCTACTATACTTTAATTTTTTTAAAAAAGAAGAAAGCATTTAAAAAAAGAAAGCTTAACCAACAGAACTGAACATCCATGTGATTGGCTGTGACTATGACTTATCATCTGGATCAGCTTTCTGTAACTCTTCCCAGCTTGACATCTCCAAGCTAAATTTTTCTCAACTTTACTGAGATATAATTGACATACAACATTGTGTAAGCTTAAATGTACAACATGATGATTTGATACACTTATATATTATGCGTTGATTAACACAATGAGAGGTTAGTTAACACAGCCTCACATAGTTCCCATTTTTTTGTGTGTGTATGATGAGAACCTTTAAGATCTCTTAGCAACTTTCAAGAATACAGTGTTGTTGATATGGTCACCATGCTATACATATTTTATCCATGTTGTTGCAAATGGCAGCATTTCCTTCTTTTTATGGCTGGATAATATTCCATTCTGTGTATGTGACATAATCTTTATCCATTCATGCACTGATGGACACTTAGATTGTTTCCATTTCTTGGCTACTGTAAATAATGCTGCAGTGAGCATGGGGGTGCAGATATCTCCTTGAGATAGTGATTTCATTTCCTCCAGATACAATCCCAGAAGTGGGACTGCTAGATCATGTGGTAGTTCTATTTCAACTCAAATTTCTTGAGGAATCTCTATATTGTTTCCATAGTGGCTGAACCTATTTACATTCCTTCCAACAGTGCCCAAAGGGTTCTTTTTCTCCCCATCCTAACCAGCAATTGTTATCTCTTGTCTTTTTGACAGTAGCCATTCTAACAGGTATGCACAGGTGATATCATGGTTTTGATTTGTATTTCTCTGATGATTAGTGATGGACAGCAAATTTGCAGGTACTTGTTGGAAAAATCAACAAGTACACCGAACTAAAATACTTCAATACAGCAAAGGAAACCATAAACAAAATGAAATGGCAACCTAGGGATTGGGAGAAAGTATCTGCAAACCTCATATCTGATGAAGGGTTAACATCCAAAATAGATAAAGGATTCATACAACTCAATTGCAAAAAACAAATTTAAAAATGGGCACAGGGCTTGAAAAGGCATTTTTCCAAGGAAGACATACACATGGCCAACAAGCTTTACTTTTTCCGTGTTGGACCCACCTAACCACACTACACCATCTGTTAAAAGCTATCAGGGTCCTGTGCTTCTGTCTCCTGCCCTGAGTTGGTCTTGAAGACTGTTTGTGGTGGGATGGGATGAACGCCAGCATTCAATCCCCGCTGAGTAACTGTGCTCCAGCAAGAAACGGTGTCAATGCTGGCTCTTTTGTTTTTGAAATTCTGCATGAGCAAAACTTTTCCTGCTGAAAAAATTGTAACTTTGATAACTGAAACAAATCTAGGAAGATGTTAACATAAATGAGTAATCTGAATTTTGTAATATTTCCTCAAAAACTGTGCCTTATACTTAGAGCGGAATTGCCAAGTTTAGATCCCTGCTGTCTATATTAAAGAATCATCTGTGATTAGCTTAGAATTGGAATTACCATAGTTTAAGAGGAACTACATTAAAACAACAGCTCTGATGTCTTATTTTCACTCCTTTTTTGACAGACAGTGCAAATGATAAGCTGTGAATGCTGAGGGAGTGTGATTCAAATTAATAAGCTGTTGTTTTGTTTCTTCTCACTAAAGGGAAAATGGGGAGGAAACAGAGTGATTCTTTCCTCCCTAAATACGCACCAAGAAGAAGTTTGTCCAATAAATCCCAAGTATTTTATCAAACATTCATCAGTCACATAGCACTTGTTTTCCTCAGTACTGAAATCCTTGAAGTCATCTTTCCTTCATATTATATTAGTAACTAATGACTCTTAATATCTCAAAACCTTGAAATTATAAATGTGACAGACGTAGTTGGGTGTATACAATGGCAGGTTTATCAGCATGCAAAAACATAGCTAAAAATGGTGATATGCCCAGGTTATATTAAAGATTTAGAACAAGTGAAAGACTCAACTCTTGCTTTTTCTTGGTGAGTTCAATTCCAGTTACCAATGTCTCAATAAATCAGCTCTTCCAATACAGGTGTTTGATTACAATTTAGTTCTTAGTCACTCTATCTTTACTGGATGCCACATACACATACTTCACTCTCGCATACATACACAGCTTGGACCTGGTGCCCCTGTTAACAGTACATACCATGAGCTCTGGGTATGTCGGCCGTTCTTTGGAATTCTTCTTCAAGCTTAAAGAGAAAAAATTAATCATATTAGATTTTAGAAACCATCTGCACATTCCCTAGACTAGGATTTCAGAACCTATAGCAGACTAAACATAAGTAGCTTTAAAAACATACTGAACACATAAATCTCCTAACTTGACTTTCCTCTTTTGTTACACTTAACAAATTATGTTTAAATCACTCTAGGCATACTTTGATGGGAGGAATAGGTGTGTGTGTGTGTGTGTGTGTGTGTGTGGCACGTACTTTCCTTGATATTTTACCAATGACACATAAAGTAATTATTCTAATGCGCATCCCTTCTGTTTCAAATTACATGCCTACTTTCCTTCAAAACAGCTTTTACTTCCTCCCGATTGGCAATGAAATTGGCAGGTGTTCCTTATGTTAATTTGTTATCTCTTCACTCTCTTCAATACCTGGTTCTCCTTGCTCTCATTCCCCGGGAAGCATAATTTGCTTTTCTATATTCCCAGTCAAACCTGCCTGAGACAGAAACAACGCACCTGTGAAATGGCTAAGGCTACACCACTTGTTTACGACCTCTTGGCTGATGAAAGACAAAACACTCCCCGTTGGTGACTTCACCATTATTCTTAGAAACACTCTGCAGTTATGCACTCCTGTCACCTGGCTTGCATTCTGTATACACAACTATCTATACACACAAACATTTTAATAACATGTGATACCAGAGGCAGCAGGAATAAAACTGCAATACGAAGAGGCCAACCCCTCGTCCCTATCCTCCACCCACCCCCTTGGCCACCCCCGGCCTTAGAGTGTCAAAGAAAGCAAAGGAGCAGTTTATTTGGCGTGGGAACCCCATGTTACAGAATGGAGAAGAGGATGATTTTGAAAACTATGATTTGCAAGGCAGCCTCCAGCACTCCTCTGCCCGCTGGGCCACAAAATCACACATGAATTGAAAGGAACTCGGCCTGACATCGAAGAAACCAAAATGTGACTGATACTCGGTTGCTGGAATTTGTGCTGATGGATCATTTTGAGCAAATGAGACCTAATTATGTGTGACATGAGCTCTGCTCCACCCACACAGGCTAATAATAATGGGGGGAGGAGGGGGCAAGGTGCCCTTAGGGAGTGGAGTGGTTGAGACACTTTGAGGAACTGTGGTTTAAAACAACACGAAATGAAAAAGAAAAAAAAAAAGAAAGAAAGAAAGAGAAAGAGAGAGAGGAAGTTTTTGAACCAAAACAACATAAAGCAGCCTACCAGTTTATTCCAGGCAATGCAGTGGGTAGAAGCCAGGGAACCTGAGACAGGGTACAGGTAGATGTGAGGAGAGAAGTTTCAATCTGGAACTGAGGGCAGATCTAGCACCTAGTGACCTCAGTGACCAGACATCCTATGAGAGAAAGTTTCATCTCAACTGAGGATAAAAATAAGAGTGAATTAGAAAGAGGAATTTATCAACTGTCAAAGCCGGATTGAATATGGGAAGGTGTGTCTGAGGGCAATGAACGAGAACTGTCACTCCTGCCTAGGACTCTGCGTGTGCCTGTCTCCTGAGATTCTACAGGGCTCCTCTGGTGGAGTCCACCTGCCAGGGGACGGATATTTGGCAACATCTGGAGGCATTTTTAGTTGACACAACCGATAAGGGCGAGTGTTACCAGCATCCTATAGGTAGAGGCCAGTGATGTCACTAAACATCTTATAATACACGGGACTGTTCCCCACAGCAAAGGATGATCCAGTCCCAAACACCATTGTGCTGAGCCTGAGAATCCCCGAGCATGTGTGCCGGGGCATTTCTCCTCATTGCTATCATCTGTCCCCTTCTGTGAAGTGAAATTCATTTAGAAGCATCTCCAGCTGGCTCAATCTGTCATTTGCACACATCCTCACCACTACCACCCTTCCCAACCTCCCAAACCCAGAAAATACAAGTTCTTCTTCCAAAATTGCCAGATCAAAATTCACCTAGAAACACAGAAGAAGAAATGTAATCCCAGGAGTGCTTCTCACTTGCACATGGACCCTAGTAAACAAACAGGCTAATGACCAAAAGCCCTGAATTTCCAGCTGTTGTTCAAAGCAAATCACACACCAGAAGTGACCAGACATCCTATGAGAGAAAGTTTCATCTCAACTGAGGATAAAAATAAGAGTGAATTAGAAAGAGGAATTTATCAACTGTCAAAGCCGGATTGAATATGGGAAGGTGTGTCTGAGGGCAATGAACGAGAACTGTCACTCCTGCCTAGGACTCTGCGTGTGCCTGTCTCCTGAGATTCTACAGGGCTCCTCTGGTGGAGTCCACCTGCCAGGGGACGGATATTTGGCAACATCTGGAGGCATTTTTAGTTGACACAACCGATAAGGGCGAGTGTTACCAGCATCCTATAGGTAGAGGCCAGTGATGTCACTAAACATCTTATAATACACGGGACTGTTCCCCACAGCAAAGGATGATCCAGTCCCAAACACCATTGTGCTGAGCCTGAGAATCCCCGAGCATGTGTGCCGGGGCATTTCTCCTCATTGCTATCATCTGTCCCCTTCTGTGAAGTGAAATTCATTTAGAAGCATCTCCAGCTGGCTCAATCTGTCATTTGCACACATCCTCACCACTACCACCCTTCCCAACCTCCCAAACCCAGAAAATACAAGTTCTTCTTCCAAAATTGCCAGATCAAAATTCACCTAGAAACACAGAAGAAGAAATGTAATCCCAGGAGTGCTTCTCACTTGCACATGGACCCTAGTAAACAAACAGGCTAATGACCAAAAGCCCTGAATTTCCAGCTGTTGTTCAAAGCAAATCACACACCAGAAAGTTTTCTCCATAATCTCAGTGACTTAACTTGCTAAAATCAAGTGAAAAGCACAAATGCAACATTAAACCCACACTCAGTATTCAAGTAGTTGGTTTCAGGCACCTCTGTTTAGAGGGAAAGTTAGTCAGTCATCAGACCCTAACTTCACATTGACTCTGACATATTTCGCTCGAGGATCATGCCCTATCTACCCATTACCAGTTTTTATTGGTCCACAGCTGAACCGAGGGAATCATAGTTAGGAAGTGCTGGTTTCTCAAACGTTACAATAGCCTCTTTAACTAGCCAGAGACCTTTGCGATGTTGCTTACTTTTGAACTTCTGTTTAGTAGATAATCAAATAAGGCTCTCTCTTCTCAGGTAGAGGAATGTAAACACTTGCTTTTATTAAGAGAGGTCCTTTAAAGTCAGGATATCTTATCTTTTCATTTTGGAAGCTTATGCAAACTTCCCCCAGAAGTTTTGTTAAGATGCATAAAGAAAACATGGAGAAAGTACCCCACCTTAGAGCTGACCCCTCTTAAAGTGTTTAGGACTCCTAAGACCTGGCCAGAGACTGCTGGCCCATAGACTATGTCTTGACTTATGGCCTCTGATCTGAAAGACCCAGATTTACCACAAGCGCTACTGCAGAGAACTGATGGAAAATACTCACACAGCAAACCAAGACTGCTTATTGAATTAATATAACTGATATATAACCCATTCTCCCCATCTTTTAAATTGAGAACACTTCAAAACATGGGCTAAGAATAGAAAATACCCAAGATAAGGTTAGGGGGAAAAAGCAAATTTTCCATGTTTTAATAGGAAGTGCTTGAAATTCTGTAAAAAATAACAACTGTGGAGTTCAAAGCTACACCAATTTCTTTTTGGATTTGAGTCAGACTTTTGAATTTTCAAGTGGCTTGTCATTTTCAAGCGTGCAATTAGCTAACTGCCCTAATTCCTCTTCCAAATGCCACAACACACGCTCCTGACCGTAGCTGACACTAAAGCAGCTTCATGCTGTCTTGAGAATTGCTAGTTTGAAGTTTGTGCTGACCAGAGGATTTCTGCCTACTTGAATTCCCCTGACCGCTTCCAAGAAGGCCTATTTGGTGCATCCACAGAATAAAAACAGATTGCGCCTCTCGAGCCATACATTTGTCATCAGCTAAATAAATATCCAGTGCCTCTTTTTACTGTCCTTCCTGAACATGTTGGGAACTATATTTGATTGTCTCTGTTTTATACTAGTTCCTCTGAATCAGATAGTATCAACGTCTGGGTGGGCCTCCAACACACTCCAACATGCCACCAGACTGATCAGCTGGGCACCGAGCCTCTTAAATAGGCCTGAAGAACATGGCAGAAAGGCAGTCGAGCTGTTCTGGCACTTGGTAGTTGATTTCCAGTGATTTCCTCTAGTCTCCAAGCCTGTAAGCGTAGAGGTTATAGGAAGAGGTTATGGTGAAAAGAGTAAGCCTGCTAAGATTCCTTTTTTTGAGAAAAATCCTTGTTAACCTCCCTATAGGTAAGGCTTCTCTAGGGAACAAAAGAGGCAGAAAATGTCATTTAACAGTCCTACTTCAAAATAAGTACAGAAAGGAAGGGTTTCCAAGAAATCATTGGTTTTTTTCCTTCAAGTTCATGAGGAATTAATACCTTCACTTTTGCTTCTAACCCCCAGAACCCCCGCCGAGGGTAATGGTTTTTCTGATGTCGCTGCAAAAGAAATAAATCAGCTGGATCTCTGGGCTCTAGATCTAACTTTGGATGTGACAGCCTGCAAATGCTTCCCACTTGACCCCACGAACCACAGTTTACTGTCAATGGACAAGCAGGGATCAGAGGACACTGGCTCCCAAGTTGATTCCTCGGATGAAGGTGTACAGCGTGTAGCAGCCTTCTGATGTCATCAAATGCTTAGGGGGGATGCATCCCACGAAAGGTCACAAACACTCTGAGAGTTACCTAGGTGATGAACTTTGTAAACCTTTTTCTTCTATTTCTTCATTGAACCCAAAGGCAAGATGTAGGAGGTCAACACACAGATGCATCTATTTTGAAATTTGAGATGAATTTTTTCACTTCCCAAATATGTAGCCCTTTCCTCATTTATCACAAAGAGTTGGGGCTTTTCAAGAAGTCTAGAAGGATTCTAGCCTATGTCATAAAAATACAAAAAACACATGGAAGTCAAAAAAGGGTCCTTTTTATGAAGCTGTGTCTCAAAAACGCCACTTTATACATAGGAAAATGGAGGAAGAGCTATAAAACGGAGTTAAGCTCATATGCTCCATCCTTCTCTTCATGAAGAAAGAGAAGAGGTGTTCTTAGGTAATAATTTCTCCATTCTTTCTACCCACCTCCAGATCAGCCTCAAAACTGTCAGTAATAAAACAAGGGAAGTACCTAGACTGCTACTCAGGGCAGATAGGTATCTGTATGCTAGTACATATAAAAAATAAAATTCCTTCCACAAAGATCTAAGCCATTCATAAAGTCTGAAAACACCAGCACCATTTTTTTTTTGAAGCATGAGACAACTTTTCCAATTCAGTTGACTTCAAAATAATGTTCATACTAAGGGGCTATCAAAGAAAATATATTGGTGATTTTTGTAGGCAAAGAACTACTGACCTGGCATCTGAAACAGGAGAGCCTGTACTCTTAAAACAATCAACTGGGGATAGGCAAGAATACTCATAAAATTCAGAATGCTCCCTTTCTACTTCCCAATTCTCAGATCAACAAAGACAATGCACTACTTTACACAGCTGATAAATTCTTAAGTATCAGATTCTGTAGAAGCTTCAGCACTGAACATTCGAAGAAGAATTTATCCTTTGAGTTCAAAGCTAAAGGGATTTTTGTTTGTTATTATTCTTTTTTTTTTTTTTTTTTTAGTAAACCCTATAAATGAGCCAGACTGACTGACTTAAGAGTGAATGAAAACGACAAAGAATTAACAGTATCAATAGAATGAACTGTTCCAGGAAAGCTGGAAAATGTGTAAGGCTCAACATTTTTTTAATTAATGAACTATAGTAGCTGGGAACACAATTAAGAGAAAACAAGAGGGACATAGAGGCGTCAGAGAGTGCCGGTGAAGACATTAGGAGTGTCCTGGGGGGAGGACAGAGGGCACAAGTTGGTCGCTATATAAAGAGCAATAATCCAAGCATCGGGAAATATCCACATCTACATGCATACATGAAAATTAAAAAGCATGTATTTTTCAAAGTCTTCATTTGCAAATATCTGAAAAATGCTTTAACACTCTGATTCTTTAGTGGAAATGCTAGGTAAGAGAAAAAAACTACTTTGGTGGAAGACAAAGTAATGGAATGGTTTTTTAAAATAAATTATCGAAGAAGAAGCGGCTTTTGAATAGGAAGTGGCTGATGGCAGGTCTACAAATCATGAGTCTAAATTAAAAGTTCTCACCCCAGCCATTTGGTAGAATGATTTGAGGACATTTGAAAAAATACTGATATTCAGGACCCTCCCAAGACCAACCCAACCAGAACCTCTGAGGGTGAGGCCAGGGTGACGCACCTTTGAAAACCCTCCCAAGTTTTATAAATGAGCAGCCAGAGTTGAGAACTATAGGATTCAAGTGTCGCTTCCCAACAAGCAGCTTAGCTTTCTCAAACGTTTCACACCAGCCACGTTCTTACCAAGGTTTTCTGAAGTACCCAGAACCGTGAGGAAAAGGGGACAGGTGGGAGAAAGATTATAAGGGGCCTAGTTTGGAAAGACTTCCCTAGATAAGATCCTTTTCCCTTACCACCCATCTTGAGAACGACTGGCCCGAGCTATCCAAGACAACTCATACCTTTTTTTCTGTGACCTTTACATGGTTGAAGATAAGGAAAAGAAATTCTTGGATCCAGAAGGCAAAATCATGAGCCCATCTCGGCCTGGCTGGTGAGTCACAACACCCAGCCCACTCCCTCAAGGGAAACAGACGGGGGGCCATGCCTCAATGACCCACAGGAGTGTATAGCAAGACGCATGAACAGACAAGGGCGCAAGAGCCCAGTGTCCCTCTCTGGCCATTCAGCCAAAACTAAAACAAAAACAGACAACAGTGGGACAGCCTCCTATACCGTTAGGTTAAAGTTCCATGGGTGACACGGGGACAAGCGCTAACAAGAAGTACAAGAGGCCTTAGTTCCACAAGCAACAGACAGTTGCTTTGTCTCATGATGTTCCCCAGGAAAAGCTGCCCTTGTAATATTTCTTCCAAAGAGCATGAAGGCCAAGGAGTGATAACCTTGAGGAAACTGTAACTGTCAATCAGCCTTCAGAGGTCCAGCCCCTTCCTGAGCCGCAAGTGGCCAGAATGGCTCCTCTCCAAGGACCCCAGCTGGGGGTGTCACCATCTGCAATTCCTCTTAGTCCCATTTTTCCTCTCTTCTGCAGGATGCCCAGATAAATGAACATGGCCCCACTGTGTGCCCTCCTTGGGCATGCTCTTCCAGCAGCCCTTGCAATGGCCATTGGGCCAAGTCATGCTAGGCATGGCCGTAGGCAGACTGAAACCTCTTGATTTTCTGGGGAAAGCTCCCCTCTCCACTTCCCTCAACTCCACTGGCAATTTCCATGAACACAAGTTGGCATGACTAGTACAACCCCTTCCATCTTTCCACCCCCACTTCCTTTAGGTTCCCTTCTCAGACCCCCAGTGTTGTCCACGTTCCCTCGGGGGCAAGAGTGTCCACAGTTAGCAAGGCTGTGCAGGAGGCAGCCTAAGCAACGCCAGACCTGCTTTGCAAGACTTCCGGGTAACTAAGTTACAGTCTGAAACTACCTATTGTCTTCTCACCCAAGGTAATTCTTAAGTAGCCCCCAGTGGGTCCTACCATCTTTCTCTTTATGCTCAAATCAAGTACCAAACTGCTTGTAGCTCCCAAAAGGGAGTTTCTCACTTTTGTGATATGATGCACAATATTCCTTCTGTTTGGAATACCTTTCCCTCTCCTCTTTCCCTTTCCCTTGGAAAATACCTCGCGTTTTCTCAGCTCAGGATGTATGTCCTCCAGACGCCCTCCCCTAATGCCTTTCCTCAGCATTCCCCAAACACCCTGTGTGCGTCTCCATCAATGGACCTGCTGTATCGCCCTATAATTACAGACTCGTGGGGCTCCCCATTTGTCTTTGAGCTCAGTGAGAGCAGGGGCTGCGGTAAAGGTACTTTGACTCTCAGCATCGAGCGCACACCCCATAAAGGCTTTTGGAAGGAATGTATGCCTAATGGATTCAAACCAGTGGAAGAAACCCGTGAGAACTCTTTTTCCTTAACTAGGGCACCTGGGGGGTGAGGCCGGTGCTCTTACCACTGGGAGGTAAAGTCAACAAACTCTTCGGAGAACTTGTCTGCAGGGAGTTGCGGCGATGGCTCCTCTACCACCTGTTTGAGCTGCTGGAAAGGAGTTCCCCACGAATCGTAGGGAAACCGAAGGATGGCCAATTCAATCTAGAGAGGAAAACACGGAGACAAGAGCAGAAAGAGGGCTACTTGAAGGAACTGCTGGGTTTTGTTCCAGAAAAATAGGGGGGAAATACAAAAGTGACGTGCAAGCAAAATCTGGGGGGAAAATACACTAATAATATGTTCTCTAGCAATTTTCCCCCAATTCCTAGTGCTAGGGATTTTCAAATATTATCCTACTAAAGACAACCATTAAGCCTATTTAAAACTGGGCGCTCACTAAAATCCACTATGACACCTAATAAAATCATACGCCGGCAGTATTAAACTTCAGGATGTAAAGCAACCAGCTTTTCAAAGGTTTCGTAGGAAAAGTAATTCTCACCCTAAGACTTTTACAGGGCTGTACATCTGCTGCCATCTGCAGGTCCCTGGCTGGAATGAAGGGAAACAAAACAAAACAAAACAAAACCCTAGGATCAAACGACTGATCTTTTTTTTGGAATTGAGTAAGGCCACTTTGCCATAACAAGATCACATGTATTCTGGGCAGGGACATGAAATAACTCACGGGATTTAATCAGCTGCTGACCCTAGGAAGGAGCCAGGACCTCAGTGGATAATTCCAGGCCTTGGTGATACACTGAAAATTGGTGATCACCACAATGATGAACCAGGCATTCATCGTATAACTTTAGGGCTGTGCCTAAGGAGATGATCCTATTCATTCTCATGTCTTTTGGCTCTACTTGACCTCAACAGCCAAGACTTCTCTCTTAAACATATTCTAGGAAGCAGAGTCTATGTCCTGAATAACAGTTCTATTCAGGTCCACATACATTAGCACCCCTTGAGGAGCTTAAGCTTCTTCATGCCTTGATTAGAATAATTTCGTTTTAAACTATAAGGGTAACTGTCAAGAACTATAGTTAGACCCTCTCATTTTATGGATGAGGACAGTGAGACATTCCATGTGACTCCATCAGTTACTCAAGCACATCACTAGTTCATGGTGGAATAAAGAGACAAGCTGGGGTTCCCCATCCAGCCCGCTATTTCAACTATACCACATTGCAAATCACTGTCCCTCAAAAGCTCCTGTAATCTCAGGCAGGACAGGGTGCCAAGGCCAGCAGTTAGGGTGTCTGCCTTTTGGTCCCAATGCCCCATTTCAGCTGCATGCCCAGAAACCCCGTGCCCAGGATGAGTATCATATGTTACCATTGTGATGCCCAGACTCCAAATGTCAGACTTCACACTGTACCCCTTCTGGTTGAGCTCTGGGTTTATTCTTTCAGGCTGGAAAAAAGACAGAAAAAGACAACTGAGATAATATTCTTAGCTCGATAAAGTCTCTGGGGGTGGAGGTGGCCCAGCTGCCAAGTGACTTGTTTTAAGCTGATAACATGTCTCCCAGGCATAGAAGACTCACTAACTACAATAAATATTGATGTCTCCATGGGGTTTTCCTCATTCTACAGTAGTCTTTTCTTGGGGATAGTAATGAACCAAAGTCTACTCTCAATTCAAAACTCATTTCAATTTTGACCTAAGGAGAAATAGTATATGTGGTACAAAGCCACTCTGCCAGTCTAGAATCTTCCTGTTAAAAACAGTCCACAACTCAATTAAAAGGATCAACAAGAGTCACTGGGCTACTGTCTGGTGTTAATAGACCCAAACAATATTTTAGCTAAACACAGAGAAGCAATGTTTCAGTCCCAGACACAAATCCACTTCAGAAAAATACAGTAAATGTCCTTTAACGTCAAGGGGATCCCAAGGTCTCTGCTAACAGCAGTGAATCTTCCCAGCCATGTGTTTCTCTCAGGACTAACCTAACTGACCTGTTAGGGGAATTTAAATGCTATTTACTGTCCTGCCCTCAACAAACAAGGAAGCAGTCCCCGTAACTCACTGTGGACAACTGTGTGAGCTATGTATTTATTGTTTACAATGCTTTTTGTCCTTTACTTGATTTTTTAAAAATGACACACACAGAGCAAGTGACTAAGGATTTCAGATAGGAAATACTTAAGGAAAAAGAAGATGCAGAATACTTCTTGCATCTTAGGCCCGTATTAGTTTTCCCTCTGTGGCCATCCATTCCCTGTTCCCTGGCATGGCTGGCCGGCAATTGCGTTCTCAGTTGCCGCCCCAGCTGCTGTACTTACAGCCATGTACGGTTTGCATCCCGCGTCAATGGTTTTAGCGACAGAGTCTACAAGGTAGCCACTGATTCCAAAATCACACATCTTGACTTGGCCCAGAGTATTGATCAGCACGTTGGAAGGCTTGACGTCTGAAAGCAAGAACAGCCAGGTGTCCTTCATCCCGGCCTGCTTTGCAGATGCATGTCTCTGCCACCAGAGGGCCTGAAATCTCCATTTCTCCCTCACCTGCCTTTCCCTATGAGGCCCAACACAAAAGTAACTGACATGCCTGCCTCAGTTACATATGTGTTCATTGCTTTCAACGTGATTTTCTATTTCATGTTTTGTCCTGCTTGTACTATTGTGAATCTACCAATGGAAAGGCCTGTTTCCCCTATTTATTTTATCATCTTCATTGCCCCCATATATGTAGTAAAAATGTAACAAAGTATCACTGAATCAAATGCCCAGGTCCACAGTCTCTACTACTCAAAATGAGTAAGACCTAGAGATCTGCTGTGCCTCACTGACCTGCTAATGAACAACATCGTATTGTACACAAAGATTTGTTGTGAGGGTAGATCTCATGTCAAGTGTTCTTAGGACAATAAAGTGATTTTTCAAAAGCCCATAAGCCTCTACAAGAGGGGTGCCAGAGGTCACACAGTGTTAACTCACCAAAGTATTCCAGACCATAAGATGCACCCCCAGAGAGATAGAGATTGTTATCTCTGGATAACGGATGTAGAAATTACAGCTAATTTTTTCCCTTTGATGCTTTTCACGAAGGACGTGTCATCAGAAGAAACAAGTTATTCTAAAAACTTTAAAAATTATCCCTCATAATTTTCCCCTTAAGTCAAATGGCAGATAGACCAATTTCATTTTATTACTTTTCAGACCTTACATACATTTCCTAATATGAATGAAATACTTTACAATTTTGAAACAAATCCTTAAACATCAGTTGCACTTTAGTGGGTGATCCACATTCTTCTTGCTTTCGGATTCCTCCCCAACTTCTTCTCCCCTCCTTCCTTCCTATTTCTCCAATTTTTAATGATAACACTTAGTAATAATAATAACAGGTACACTGTGCAAGACATTACCTTACTGGCAGGCTCAGATAGTGTGAGAATTACCAAATCACTATGACCTACTAGCCATCAATCTTTCCATTGATTTTTCCTTAGACGTGGCTGAGTGTATCTCTTCCAAGAAACTTTCCTTGACTATAGTCACCTAGGGCTAAACATTTCTTTGTTTCATATTCTATCTATACGACTTCCATAATTGGTACTTTCATATTTCTAATGTGGTTTATTTGTGTCCAGGTGTTTACTGTACATTTGTCTTATTTCTCTATCAAGAATCCCCATGTGCAATTTTAATGAGAATATGCTTTCTTCCAAGACACCTCTCAAGGCATCTGTTTTAGTGCTGTATGTCAGAAAAATGATTATGAGATAAATGGATGGATGAATGGGTGGATGAAAGACGAAAGAATGGATATACAGGAGGATGGATGGATGGATGAAGCGATAACAGGCCAATAGGAAGGAAGAAAGAAAGGGAAAGAGGAAGAGACAAAACATAGATTTTTGCATCTTATCCTGCCTCCTACTGTCTGAAAGGGCCATGCTTTATACTAGAGCTTTTCACACTTTTATTGTACCTAAGAATTCTTCTTAATAATTCAGATTCTGATTCAGGTGGTCTTGGGTCCCATGATTCTCTTTTCTAACAAGCTCTTAGGTGACAGTCAATACTAAATGAATTTTTGTGCTAGTCTCTAAAATGTTCAGTGGGGTCATCCCACAGCTCTTCTCGGTAACAGGTATTTTATATTCAATTTAGGTGTAACGTAAAGCCCATGCTTTGTTATGTCCTCAGACAAGATAAAGAATAGCTACTTATATGATTTGTTGTCCAATCCCAAAGGAAAACCCCTCAGTTCTCTTGCCTGACTGAATTCTACTTCCATCCACTAGAGGGGGAAAAAATCCAGGTAAAGGAAATGAGTTTTACAAAAGGAACAGCCACGGCAGCTCCATGGATGCTTACCTCGATGAATGACAGAGAGCTTACTGTGTAAATGTTCTAACGCTTTTACAATCTGCAAGAGAAAGACAAGACAGGTTTTCCCCATCACTGGAAAGAAATCAAATGTCAAGTATATCCAGATTTATTATCCCTGGCTGAAGGTCACAGGAGAGGTCTTTTCTCCAGCAGCGGCGGTCCCATCCGGGAAAATGCACAGGAAGTGAAGCGGACGGGACTCCGCCCACCGGAAAGGGCGGTATCTTACAGCAGAGAGGACGCCTCACTCCGCTATCCTGCTTCTCATTCGGCCTCCAGCATTTTTTTCCCACCTCCCTTCTGATCTCATCGCCATTAAGGGAGCAGCCCGTGGTGCCACTTCATTTTCTTCTGCCTTCTTCTATGCCTGTAAGTCCTAGGAAAACATTTAAAACTCTACACATGAACGACAAAATAAACTAATGTGAGAATATAGACACCAGGAATGCAGTCCTAGCAGATGAAGGCGCTGCTCAGAGGCATTATAACTGAGAGTTTACCAAACCGCGTCAGTGGTAGAATCCTCTACCCAGTGCTCAGGAAGAAAAGCATCCATTTACCCAGCCAGAGATGCACACATACACTCAACAGACAGGTACTAGATGGAAGCGATGGTGGTGTTTGAGATACTGGGGATACAAAGATACCTAAGGGATAGACCTCTCACATTCTCCGGGTGGTAGGGTTTGTGATGTACTCACAGAAACTGCTATTTTCCCTAAGATGTCCTCTGGTATTGTTTGGCCTTTATCAATGACTTGTTTGTAGAATTTATCTAGTGACGTATCCATGAGCTCCATGCAGATCCAAACATCACCCTGGAGACCAGGAGCCCGATTGGTTCAGAGATTAAGAGAGAGGATGAAAAGGAAAAAGAGGAAACAGTTACCACCTGTCAGGAAGAATGAACTATTTTTTACTTGACTTTTTGGAGGAAATGCAGTTTTCCTTCAAGATCTCAAAGGATTTTATAAACAAGCAAGTTTATCTACCAAGAGCGAAGTAGCAGACAGCCCATCAGAACTTGCACGGGATCACGTAAGAATTATTGTTGAAAACTAGGATCTAAATACTAATAGACACAAGCAATAGAATCCCAGAAGCCCGAGTCTTTGTTGTTACTGCCCTCTAGGAGTTAGGTCTAGATGCCTACTCCGCCTCTGACCTCCCACATGGAGCACTGGCAATTATAAATCAGAAGGCTAGTTTTAAAAGTGAGGTGATGCATCATAATTCATATCATGGTAAAGTGAAAAGCAGACGTAGAGCAAAGAGACAAACATAAGCTTGTATGGTACATAAACAGCCTACAGGAAGGTTATCAGGTGGCCAAAAGACCAGAATATAGCAGATTTTAAGGAATCTCTCCAAATCAGTTTAGAGACGATTGAATCATGGACAGTTCTGTCAAAAAGGACAAACCAAAACAAAAAGAAAAAAGGGAGCCTTAGCATCTTCAAAACGGCTTAACACATTTGAAAATACCATAGCTTCAAGCCAGCCTTGCCCTGGGGCATGTCATCATTGTATAAGCATAAAACTCCCTATAGAAGACACATCAAAAAGGACAGGTACATGGCATTTATGTGATCAGAGAAACATTTTTTTAAGTTATTGTCCCCCTCAGACTTAGAATGGAAGGATCACCCACCTCCCGGAAGAGAGCGCCGTAAAAGGTCACCGTGAAAGGACAGTCCACTGTCCTCATGGAAATATCCAAATCCATCAGTAGCCTTTTCTGCTCCTGGCTATTTACTGTGGCTCGGATCCGCTAAATGGGAATGCATGGAAAAATGTATGGTTACTGCTCTGAGGATGAATCAGTCAGTAAGCCAGGGGCCCTAAATAGTACAATAATTCAGCCCACAACTTCTAGCAAGCACCTTTCAAATATCTACTGTTAAGTGATTAGCTATGTATAACAAATGAAAAAAAAGGAAGACTTACTCATTTGATTTCCCAAACAATCCCTGTTATGAAGCAAACTCACAATACATTCTGGAAAGTGTGCAAAAGTCTGGGAATGTATTTTCAAGTTACAAAAACATTCTGGTTTACTATATTATGTCTGTTTAGTACAAAGAGGCCACAGTATTAATGACTTTGTGGCTGATTCGAGCCCTACAAAAAAAAATCCAAAAGCCCCTCTTTGGGAACAAATAAGACTATTTGGACAAAATAGCAAGTGTTAGAGAATTGATACAACTATGGGAAATGATTGGAATCAGACAGAAATGGAGAAGCTGTTCATTCCTATCCCAGTGCTGTCACATCAGCAGATGTAGCCTTCATAGACATGATTATGTTTTAAATTACAGTAAAGATATCCTATCATTAGGTTTTCACATTTTTTGCCTACTTAACAAGAGTCTGCAAAGAACAAAATGAAAAATCTGTAAGGTAAAGGAAAGATACCCATTCTCCAAAACAAAGGGCTCCAAATCATCTGACCATCCACACCCCTAACAACGGCCCAAATCTATTACTCATCTAAATGCTAATTCTCCAAGGTCCTTCCAAGTATCTCCTTAAGAAATATGCAATAATCCTAAATTTCTTTTATTAGCTCAAAAACTACTCAACTTCATTCAAGATACATCTTACCCTCCTTTTTTCTACAAATGGAGACAATTTTCTCCCTCAGTTCTGGTTTCCTGATTTTCAGGGACAACTCTTTAAAAGCAACAGAATATAGAATAAAACACACTTTTCAGACATAACAACCAAATGCAACATATGAACCTTTATGTGGATTCTGACTCGAACAACCAATGGGGGTAAAAACAAACAACTTCTGAGATGATTAAAGTAATTTTAGTTTGGAACTGGTATTAGATGACATTAAAGAAATAATTGCTAATTATTTTGTGTAATGATAACATCATGGTTGCATAAAAAAATTAATACAAGGGAGTCGGATTTATCAGTTTAAAAAAAATCAGTGGATGCAACTCATGCTAAGGAAGCATCTTCCACACATTTGGAGGGAAATACTGTTCTCTACAAATTACCTTTTCTGTTTCACCCCACTGAAGATTGTTTTACTTCTAGGAAAAGAGCTGATTTGCAATTGAGATGGACAGACATACAGCACAGATAGAAAACGTTTGGAGAGTATCAACGCTACCTTCACTGCCATGATCTGCCCGCTGGGCACGTGTCGCATCTTCTCCACCACCCCGTACGCACCTCGGCCCAGTTCCATTATAGGCTCCAGGTCATCCGCCTTCACCTCAAAGTTCTGCAAGACAGACAAGTAATAATGCAATAGGAAAAAGAAAAAATAAACTGACCACAGACTGTCTTGTCCTTTCTCAGGTTTCTGCTAATGTTCTAAGGATTATTTCTGATCCAGAAGCTTTTCCTAGCAGTTCCTGAAGGCAAGAAGTGCCAGGAGATGGAGACTCTCACAGCATGCCACCTGCTCATCACAGGCAATGCAGAGACCCAACTCCAATTCAGCTTCCAAATCGCTCATCCAAAGCTGTCTACACTGTGGACCCTGAGCCATGCCCCCTGAATTAATGCGTAATCCCTTTGCTAACGGATGGCAACTAGACTGATGCACGGCCTTCGAGGGAATGCACCTCAAAGAGAATCATGTACTCTCCCCAAATACATTCTGTCAGGACCACGAGAGCCTGATTTCAGTTCGGCATTCAAAGCAGCAAGAGCTCCACATTCCACTTCAGTTTAAATTCAAACTTTTTGGACTCAGCCCTTCACAGCATGTTATGAAAGATAAATTTTTCAATGGCTACTCAGAAAACATATATGTAAAATGGTCAAGATATTAACTGGCAAACATGATGGTTCTTACCTGGTTTCCAATAGAAATGCAAGCTTTGGAGTCTAAATCTCGAGGTGGCCTAAGAAAGAAAACAGGGCAAAGAAATAATATGAGTTAGTCAAATATGCCCTTCCCAAATTATATGCAACTGGACTGGACAGATTTATTTTCTTAGGAATAAGGGGAAATTTCATGAGTAAAATCAAGCAGCATTAAAGTGTCAATAATGTGAGTTTTGGAATAAAATATACTAGGGTTTAAATGACTTAATGTCTTCAAGCTTCCATTTCTTCTTTAACATGAGGATAGTTGTACACCTACCTCACAGAGTAGGAGCATTAAATAAGCCATTCCAAGTAAAATGTTTAGCAGAATGTCTGGCATGCAGCAAATATCAAATAAATATGCCCTACACCTAAATAATTATACTATACTATTCTTGTGTATCTTAGACTATTCTAATAAGCCCCCAATTTTTTTCATCCAAAAACATTAATGTGCCCAGTGACCTCACTTTTTCCACACTTGCTTTAAAAAAGAAACAGTAATAACTAACCTAGCCTAATGCTATGGTAACTCACAAAATTAACAGACCATAAGAATTCCAAATCTATCTAGTCCCTGCCATCTTCTAGGTGGGAAAAAGGTCCACAGAAGTGAAATGACTTGCCCAAAGACACAACTAACCCAGGTCTTCTGATTTTTAGGTCAAAATACTTTCTTTTCTGCCAGGCTTTCTAATCCACTTATGATATTTCTCCTACACATTCTGTACACACTACCCAGGGGTCATCTCAGCAGCCAGAGGTTTACCGATTCTGGACTCCATAGAGAAAGCACGTAGTCCCCTCCCATGTATTTAATTCTACCCCTTCAAGGCTACCTGGGTTGCTATCAATCCACTTAAGAGAAAGATTGGCTGTGGCTATGCACCTGACTAGGAGCCTAGAAAAGCATTTTCTTGAAATAAATGCACCGAAAGTATCACAGCCAAAGTAGTAAATGCCAAGAAGCACACTGTGAATATGAGCAAACGAAGCAACTAGAGGCTAAAGACAGGAGAATCCTGGTGTAGCCAGAACAAACGGGGACCGGAGAGGTGGAAACTCAAGTCTCCCTGGGGACATTCCGTGCCAGAACTGTCTCGAGAAAAATACAAGGGAAAATGGGAAGAAGGGACGATGAAAGGAAGAAGGAAAAAAAACTTTGCCAATGACAATTTTTCCCAACCCTAATGTGTTATATAATTCCACCCCTTTTGCTGAAACAAAATAAATAAATAAAAAGGAAAAAGCAGGAATAGAAACACAGATATAAACATGAACCCAGGGTTTTCGTGGCAAGAATTCCCTTACCTCAAAATCACTTTGAAATGCCTTGAAAACATAAAATAAAGTTTCTCTATACTAACTTGAAAACCAGGGACTGGGATGGGGGGAGAGAAAGGAACACCACACACAAATGGCGGCGATGTTTTTATATGTGTTTTTGAGCAGGGACTTTTTCTTCAAACATGCTTTGCAGAGTTTTACATTTCTAAAATTCCAATTTTTCATTCTTAAAATTTCCAAAGCTGTGTTTCTTTAGTTGTCGTAATGTGTACAGACTGCAAAGGAACTTTGAAATAAAGATGAAAATTACTTGAAACATATGGCTAACACAAGCAATAAAAAATCCTTTGGAATTGTTTAGGCCCTTCCTTTTCAAAAGCATGAAGCAATGTGGCAACGGAAAGGCCACCGGTCATCTGGAGCTACCTCGGGGCTTTCTTGTCGTCCAATGAGGGTTTGGGGCTTTCTTGTCGTCCAATGAGGGTTTGGGGCAAGACCTCTTCCAGCTCTGATAGTCTAGCATATACGCCAGGGCTCAGCACATTTCAGTGTTGGCCCATCTAAGAATGATTTTTACAAGTTTAAAAGGCTGTCAAAAACAAACAACAAAGAATATGCAAAGAGGCCCTGGCCAAATATTTACTCTCTGGCTTTTTGCAAAAATAAAAATAAAAAAGTTCGCTGACTCCAGCTTTATACAAATCCTGCATTATACCTCTACCTAATAATAGGAGGCTGTTATGCCGTTTTCCAGGTTCAGAAAAATGAAACCCAGAAAATCTCAGTGGTTTGCTGAAGCCGCACTGCCTCCACAGAGCTGAAAACAAAACCCTCATCACCTGAATCGGTTTTGACCTATAGAGAAAAGGAAACACGCTGAAAAATAGGGCTCGGTGCTTTACCTGAATCACACACACACACACACACACACACACACACACGCACGCACGCACACGCACACGCACACACACACACACACCCCACCCCACCCCTACCCCCCATGAGTAGTATTATTCCTATATTCTAGATAAGAAACTAGCTTGGAGTTTCACAACCTTGCTCCTCAGTAGTGAAGCCATGATTCCAAGCCAAGTCTAATTAAATCCTGCTCCCAACACCCAGGCCTCCCCTAATGAAAATGATCAATCCACCCAAGCCCGAGGCCTTTGGGCTCATCAAGTCCGCCAAAAGCATCAAATGATGGGGCCAAGCCCGACAGTTCCTATTGGATTAGTTGACACCGTGTTCTGGCCAGACAGCATATTAGTTTGCCCAGGGCATTGAGTCTCCGCAGGAGTTGAAACTGTGGGTGGATGTTTTCGCTTGCTTATTCAGTATTTTAGTCCTCTGGGGGAAGAACTAAACTTATTACAAAATTCCTTCCCTGGAAGACCAAAGGTATTCCAAAGGTCACCTAGTATTACTTTTTTGTGTGAACAACTAGCTTTGGTTTATTATAGCAAGTATTTATTTATAATGCTACATGAGTAATCAGTCTCCTGGTTATTATGCAACTATTATTCATCTATTCAATAATATTTATTAAGCATCTACTTGGGCCACAGACTGTGCTGGGTCCCTTACATAAAATATCTTCTACAATGTTCACAACTCTTAGAGGCATTATTGTCTTTATTCTAATGTGATGACTTGGCATGGAAACAGATTAAATAATTTGAATTCCCTGATTTGAAAAGACATACACACCCCTATATTCATCACTGCTTTATTTACAATAGCCAAGATATGGAAGCAACCTAAGTGTCCATTAATAGATGAAAGGATAAAGAAGATGTGTACATATATATAATAGAATATTATTCAGCCATGCAAAGAAAAGAAATCCTGCCACTTGCAACAACATGGATGGAGCTAGAGGGTACTATGCTCAGTGAAATAAGCCAGGTGGAGAAAGACAAATACCAAAAGACTTCACTCATTTGTGGGGTATAACTGCAAAGCAAAACTGAAGGAACAAAACAGCAGCAGACTCACAGAACCCAAGAATGGACTAGCAGTTACCAAAGGGAAAGGGTTTGGGGAGGGTGGGTGAGAAGGGGGAAGGGGATGAAGGGACATGATAATTCACAATCACAATATAGGCAGGTCACAGGGAAGGCAGTACAGCACAGAGAAGACCATTAATGACTCTACAGCATCTTACTACGCTGACAGACAGTGACTGCAATAGAGGGGGTGAGGACTTGATAATATGGGTGACCAATGACACCACAGTGCTGATTAGGTGAAACCATCATAAGATTCTATATCAATGATATTTTAATAAAAATAACAACAATAATAATAAATTGAAGTCATTCAAAGGCCTGTGAGATTAGGACCCAGAGCCACACAGTGAAGTCTTCTCAACTGCAGAAGTAAAGGTCCTTGTCTCTCATTCCACTAGCCATGAACTGTTTGGCCACAGTCTCTACCAGTCTAATGGGTAGCTAAGAGCCCATACTTGACAGTCAGAGGGCCCTGAGTTTGTACAACAGGGCTCTACTTTATTATTATTATTATTCAATCACAATTATTCCAATAATATATTATTGTGACTATTATAATTATACTAAATATTCTTATTCTTATATATTATATTTATGTGTTATATATATTATAAATTATATTATATTATATAAATATATAATTATAATATTATCTGCTATTATAATGTTACAATAATATAAGAATTAATAATAACAATGCTTGGAGCAACCTTCATTGAGAAATTACAATGGAACAGGCACTAGGCTAGACACTTAATGTGGGTTGACAGCTATTCCTCATACAACCACATTGTTTATTCCATTTTTCAGAAGGGAAAACTAAGGCTTAATAGGGTTAGGTTATTTGCCTAAGGTATTCAGCTAGTGAAGTTTAGATCCCAACTACGAATGTAGATCTAGATCCAGCTAGATCCCGAAGTATTATCCACGACGGTATGCTCGACTGCTTTGAGCAATGCACCCGACCACAGTGCAGGTCTATTTTCTCATTTATAAAATGAGTCACAGTAACTGCCTCCTGAGTTTCTTGGGAGGGTGAAGTGAAATAATACTGAACAGCATTAAATAGATTTAGAATTAGCTGCTGCCAATCAAGTAAGTAACAGTGCAGAAACCTGAATCAAAGACACACTGGCATTAGTCACCAAAAGAAAGCTCAAGCAGAGCGACCACACACAAGGAGCTAAGGAAAATGGGGCTCTGTCCCAGGAGATTTATTTTCGTGCAGTACCGCAGGAGGAGGCAGGGTGTAAAGCCACCCTCAAAAAATTGCACAGAAAAACACAAAATGGGGAAGCTACTTCTTCAGGAGTACAGATTTAAGTGTCAGTATTAAAATAATAAATAATAATAAGCCTCTCTATGAGCTGTAGTGGTGGAGTCTATAATAATGAAGTGACGATGCCCTCAGCTTCACCCACTGAAAAAGAAAAGTATACTCAATGCTTATTCTACCCCAAGAGGGACAGACCACACAGACGCTATGTGTGTCCGTGCATAGGTTTTTATTCATTTGTTTATACCAACGAAGCATTTATGGTGGTTTTCAAAAACTCATAAAATAGAGAAAATTAATAAAATCAGAAGAAAGTGAAGAATAAAAACGTAAGACAGCTAGGAGGTATACATAAAAATGTAACCCAAAGGAACAAATAAAGAGCAGAAATTAATAAAATTGAAGATAGGGGGAAAAAAGAAAAGTTTTTTCTTTTTTTTATGTAAAATTTATAAACTTCTTACAAGATTGATACGGAGAGAACAAGAGAAAAGACACAAATCACCAATATCAGGAGGAAAAATACTGGGGTTATCACAACATATCCTGCAGCCATTAAAAGCATGATCAGGAAATAGTATAAACAACTTTACTCTCATAAATTCAACAACTTATATGAAGTGAACCAATTCCTTGAAAACCACAAAGTACCCAAACTTACTTTGATAAAATAGACTCCCTGAATAGTCCTTACTTATTAGAAAAATTGAACTCTAACTTAAAAGCTCCAGAAAAAGAAATACCTAGGCTAAGTTGGTTTCACTGGAGAATTTTAGCTAACAGTTAAAAAAAAGGGGAAAAAGAGGAATTAATGTCAATTTTATACAATGTCTACAGGGGGAATAAAAGTAACTCAGTCTAATTCACTTACAAAGCCAGTATTACCTTAATACCAAAACCAGAAAATAACAGCACACATCACAAAAACCCACTATAGACCAACATCTCTCATGAACTTAGACACAAAAATCATCAACAAAATTTTAGCAGATTGAACCCAAGGATATATAAAAAAACAGCATACCTCAACAAAATGGCATTTATTTTGGGTAGGTAAGTTTAGTTCAATATTTAAAAATCAACCAGTGTAAATTCATACCAACAGCACAAAGAAGAAAAATCTATAAATTGATGCACAAAAAAAGCATTTAACAAAATTCAACACACGTTCATGATAAAAACTCTTGGTACACTAAGACTAAAAAGGAACTTTTCAACCTCATAAGCAGTATCTACAAAAACCTAACATCATGCTTAATGGTGAAAGACCAATGCTTTCCCTCTAAGAACAAAGCAAATTGCCTACTCTCACCAATCTTATTTAACACAGTACTGGACACTCTTGCCACTGAAATAAAACAAGAAGATAAGAGTCAAAAAAACAATACAGTTTTCAAAGGAATAAATAAAACTCTATTTGCAGAAGACATACCATCTACATAAAAAACCCTGAGGAATCTACCAAAAAGCTCCTATAACTTTTAAGTGAATCTCTTAAGGTTACAGGATACAAGATCAACACAGAAAAACAGATGTTCATTTCTATATATGGATAATGAGCAAGTGAAAACCCAAGTCAAAAATGGAATTTATAATTACTCCAAAAAATGAAAAGACTTAGGTATAAATATTAGCAAAACTTAATGTAAAGAATCTATATGATGAAAACTATAAAATACTAATGAAAGGAATCAAAGGAAATCTAAATACTTGGAGAAATCTACCAGGTTTATCTTGTATTGGAAGACTTGGTGTAGTAAAGATACCCATTGTCCCTAAACTGATCTATGGGTTATACACAATTCCTACCCACATCTCAGCAAGTTTATTTGTAGAGATAGATAAGTTTACTCTAAAACTTATAAGAAAAGAGAAAAGCCCTAGAATTAGCCAAAATCATTTTGAAAATTAAGAACATATTAGTGTGGAGAAGGGACATAGTGGATCTGTGGCATCTTGCTACACTGATGGACAGTGACTGCAGTGGGGTATGGGTGGGGACTTGATAATATGGGTAAATGTAGTAACCACATTGTTTTTTCATGTGAAACCTTCATAAGCATGTATATCAATCATACCCTAATAAAAAATTTTAAAAAAAAAAAACAGAGTGTGAAGAATCACCTTTCTTAATGTTAAAGCTTACCATATAGCTGTAGCAATTAGAGGGGTTGGCATATAAATCAATAGGCAGAGAGATAGACACACAGATCAACGGAACAGAAAAGAAAACCCAGGGATAGACCCAACCAAATATGCACAGCTCATGTCTGACAAATTAATATTTGGCACAATTAAATATTGACACAGGAGCAAAAGCAATTCAATGGAAGAGGAATAGACTTTCCAACAAATGGCACTGGAGTAATTGGAAATCCACTGGCAACAAAATAAAACTCAAACTAAACCTCACACCTTATACAAGAGTTAAATTCAAAAGGTATCACAGGCTTAAATCTAAAATGTAAACTATAAAACTTCTAGAAAAGAACATAAGAGAACACCTTCAGAGCCAAGGACTAAGCAAAGAGTTCTTAAAACTGTCACCAAAAACATGATCTGTAAGAGGAAAACTGGGTAAATTAGATTTTATTGAAATAAAAGGATGAAAAGACAAAATACAGACTAGGAGAAAACATTTTTGTCACATATCTAACAAACTCCTTGTGTCTAGTATATATAAAGAATTCTCAAAACTTAACTTTAAAAAAATAATTACTAATTGCGGTACTGGACGTATATCCCGGGAAAACAAAGACTTATTTTCAAGTTTTCAAGAACTTGTACATGAATAGTCAAAGCAGCTTTACTCATAATAGCCCAAAACTGGAAACTACCTATATCCTCTTCAAAGGCTACAGTGTTAAACCAACTGTGGCATATCCATACCCCGGGATGTAATTCAGCAACCTGAATGAACCTCAAGGAAATTATGCTGAATGAAAAATGCCAGTCTCAAAAAGGAGATGCATGATTCCATTTATGTAACAATCATGAAATGACAAAATTTACTTCAAATTACAAAGTTTTAAAAGTAGATCCCATAAAGACCTACACAGTACAGGGCAGCCACATATTTGATTCTAAGTTCTGGAGAAACCAATCAAAGAGGAGAAGTTATTAGTTACACAGTCCCTTATGCGGGGGAAAAAAACAACCAGAGAGACTGAAAAACCCAATGTTGACAGCAGATCCGGAAGGAACTTCCTCCTTCAGATCCTCACGAAAGGGACAGTCTAACCTTAGTTTGGCCCTCGGGCTACAGTCCAGAACCCTGAAGAGCAGCCCTCCACCTCTGCTCTGTGCCTAGAGGTTGTGCAGTGTCAAGTTTCTATTCCTCATGGAAGCCAATGACCGGTGGCCTCAACCAGGTCTTACAAAAGATAGGCTCTTTCTTCACCAACACACTCCAACATCAGGGGGTGCACTTTCCGATAGGATGGATCACAGCTAAGCCCAAAAGCCTTTACAAAGGCAGGCACTTTCGCACAGACGAGCGAAAGCCTTGAAAAAAATTCCAGCTGCCACTGGGAATGGCCTCTCTGTACTGGCTCAGCCTCTCTAGGGCTCCTGCTCTTACGGTTTTCCTTGAAGTTTCCATCCTTCTCACGCCCAGGCTTTGACAGGTGGTCATACCTCCAGCTGGACAGGTGGTCTCTTCGCCACCCCCCAGAGAGACGAAGAAGCAAGGGAGAGGCTCAGGAAGAGGCTGTCCTGCTTCCGTGGGACTTGAGCTCATTTAGGAACCCGGGCCAAAGCCTCAGCTAATGAAAAAGCGTTCCTTCCGCTCACTTTGCCTCTGTTTATGTGAGACAGGATTGAGGTGTCAGGATGCTGCGTCCTTACCAAATGCCATCTTTCCAGCTCAACACAAGTTTTATAGTAGTGGCTCTCACAGGGATTGGCTTATTTGCTCAAATCCATATGGAAAAGGCAAAAAGCCCACATCCAGGGACCTTTCTGGACTCACACAGGACTCCATCTGCCAAATGCATTTGTGACACTCAATTTTCCGCCAGCCCGTAATGTGAGACACTCAGTCCAAAGCCATCCCTTCAGTACAGACCGACCCCACGTGGGTCATGTAGGTGTCAGAACAGCAAGCACATGGCTTCCCCCTCTAAAGGGCTCTCTTTCTAAAAACTATTTCCACAGGCAAGCTATCGTTCACCAGTCCAGAAACGAACCCCCATTCCCAGGCACTCTGCCAAGTGCAAGTGTTCAGGTTAAGACGATGATCTTGCCAACTTACGTGGAACTGGTCTGAGGTTGTTCAAAAGCTTCTTTCGGAATTTTCAGGCCAGGGTTTCGCTTCTTGCCTATGGGGAAAGACACAAGGATAGGGTTAAGGTCTAACTCACAGTGGGAGAACAGGGGCACTGACCGCTGCAAAGGAAAAGGGCTGACCTGGGCATGGAGCTCTCATTTGGCCATTCCGAGCGCCACAGCAAGTCTGTGAGTGACAGGCCCCTGGTCCCAGGAAAAGCTTCCCAAATACAGAAAGCGGCCACGGAGGGTTTAAATGGTGTAGGATGAAAATGGCAGGATAAGAATGCCTACTGTCTTGATGAAAAGACCTGCCCTTTCCTTCCTGCTGAGGGATTGTCATTCCACTGTCTTTGTTCTTTCTTGTTCTCAACAATATGAACGGTAGGTGGTGTTGGTTTTAAATTTTTTTTTCTTTTTAATGTCAAATGTTGTCACCCTTTATCTCAATATTCCCACAATTTTCTAAATTGATCTGTAAACAACTGATAAAAATTAACCAAGGAGGCAGAGATAAAATACTTCCCCAGCGCTCTGCCCTGCCCCTTCTCAACCACCTGCCCCAAGGTGAGACTCGTAGAGAGGGGCAGAGAATTATTTGTTTACATTTACCCTGATCCAAAAAGGATTAAGGTAACAGATGAGCTCGTGCAAGGTGATGCTCCTTCAGGGCCAGATGGCAGTGTAACCAATGTGTTATCCCTGGGCTGAAACTACAAGAGAGCCTGGCTCCAATACTTCTGTTTGATGAATAAAAAGAACAGACTGAGAAATGCCAACTCAGGAAGCTGATCAGAGAAAATAGTCTTTTAAGGGCCCAGGGTTTTCCTCATCTAAGGAGATCCTGTGCCTCTTCGTGCTCGACAGGGGAAACCAAAGCAGAGCTGGATAGAAGGCCCACAGTTCTATTCTCTTTCCCCCTCTTCGCATGGCAGGTGAGCACAACTGAGCTGACACAAGCCTGGACAAGACCCTGCTTAGAGATTCTGAGCCTGCCAAGAAATTAAAAAATCAAATACTGTAACCTCCTTGCAGGAAAAAGACATCCAAAGATTCTGGTGATTGCTCAGCATCGTGCAGCCAGCAATGACCCACCCGGTCAGAATCTGAATCCAGGTCTCTAACCACCCAGGTCAGAACTCTTTCCCCTATTCTGTGATGGAAGAACTTAGAGGTGACCAGAGAGAATGGGGGTGAGGGGATATGGGATTATGAGTTTTTAAAAAAACAGCTTATATCTGGTTCCTTTCCTCGCCAAGTGACTTTCAGAGTCACATTTTTTTGACTTTCAGTGTCCTCAACTGTAAAATGGGGAAATACCATCACTACCTGTCTTACTGGACCTATAGGAGGCCCACAAGGTAAGACATACAGAAGGGCACTGAGATAGGTTAAGTAACTGTTCATTACCATCAAGAGGAAGGAGCTGTACAATCGTTTTAAAAATAAATTAGTCATCTGAGAAACTCATGAACAGAATCGTTCATATACTCCACAGCACAATATAATGTATAATCGAATCCTTTTTTTTCTATGCTTTCAAAATCCAAAATCTAGTTCAATTTAGCCAAGTTGTATACAGCCAAGAAAAAAAAATATGCTTGGCAGTAATCAACACAGAGAGAGCCTTTCAGGACCACCTTCCCTCTAACAGGCCTTATCTCTCTCCTCATTTGGGCTTATCAATGTGTTTCATAACATTCAAAACTCACCATTTGCTTTCTTCCTGATGCAGTTCAAATGGTCATTTAGCACACATCGCTAAGTGAGTCAGTTAGGACACTACCCAGAGCTGCACTGTGTACCCGCAGCAATGCTAAGTGCTGGATCCGGTGGTCAGAACCCAAATACATTGATGGCCTAATTCCAACAATTCCCATCCACGGGCCTCAATCAGACAGAGAGGGAATTCTACTTTAAAGAGATTTTCTAGTGAGGAATGAATGGCAAACCCGACTTGTCCAGATAACTACATACATATACCAAACCCATGACAGGTAAGCCGGCTAATCCCCAGGAGATACCACCCTGTAGTCATCTCAGCTAAAACAAAACAAAACAAAACAGAACTAAAATATATTTTGCCTGTGAAAAAAGACTCCCCAGTTGCCGCTGAAGTGAGCCAGAGGTGGAAGTTATTCTCAAATTCCTACCTCTCTCTCTTCTTCATGTCTAACTCAGCGGTTATAAGATGTCAAGAGAAAGAGCTACTTATGGAGAAAACTGCCTTTTAAAAACTTTCAATGAATCATTGCACCATAGTAGAATATTAGCAATTCATTAATAGCAATTATTACTATGCCTCAACAAATCATCAAAATGTCTATGCAAAGAAAGAGTAAACGAGAGAGAAACCTTTCAACAAAGAGACCAAAGGATTAAAAATGACCAAAACTATAATAAGGTCTTGGAGGTATGAGAAGAAGAACCCTGCTTCTCTTCTGACAGCAACAGGAAAAACAGTTCCAGGAGACACACAAAATCTAGTTGAATTACACGGTTAAAAAATACCCTGCCTTCATTTTTAAACGACAAACAAATAAAGCAAAAATCACACACACCCCAACATTCCATAATTCACTTACTCGCCCATCCCTGAAAAAGTAGCCGGGGAAGAGGCCAGCAGTGACTCTGAGGAAGTTTTCAAGGCTGCAAGGAAGACTAGCAGAAGAAAACATCACAAAAGACATTCTCTGCTTTGCTCCCAAGAAGATCACACTTCAGCAGAGAGAAACAGAACTGAACTGAACAGACTCCGCCCCCTCCTCACGGGCGGACTGTAGCAAACCTCTGCTAGTTTATTGTTCCCGGGAAATGGCAACTCCCGAAAGGGGGAAGGGAAGCGGGTCCATCTGGACACCAAGGCATGAATACATCTGTCAAGAAATTCTGGACAGTACCACACACCAGCCTTTCTACAAATGCATCTTTCCTTTCTTAAAAGACAGAAAACAATCAGTTTCCAGCTGTGTTTATTTCAAAGCAATCTGTTCCACCAGCAAGGCTGCCCATACCTGACCCGCACGTTGAACACATGTTAAAAAAAAATTAATTAATGTGAGGAAGACACAGGAAGGATAAAATTAAATGGCCAACTATGTTAAACAGCCTTTGGCCTTGGAATTCAAAAGCAAAAATGAAAAATATATCAGCAAAAGCAAGAGCTCTGACATATCTCTAGTGTGTCAGAGGCTCGTAACAAGACTTCTCAGAGAGAGAGAATTCTATGTATTTCCAGCTTTGACCCTCTGCTGGGCACAATCTGCAGACAGTAAGAAAGCCTCACTGGCCCGATGGAGTATATAGGCAGTACTATATTACATGGGCCTGTGTCACACCCATGCCTGTTTTCTCTGAAAATATTGTAGCCTCACCACACACATGTATTTGCGAAATTCGTCTCAAACCAAAGCTGGGTCATTATGATCCTGGCCTGGAGCAAAATGGCACTGGAAAATTAAAACCCTGCCAATAGTTAGAAAACATTTACCAGGCCACAGCAATGTTCACTCAATTTGTACCAGAAATGATGGGGTACACGAGACCTCTTGCTCAGTACCCACTTGGGAAGGCTGCACAAAGAGCTTCTCTCATGTGCGTTATTACATAAAACAGAAGATTGTGCTCCAGCACCAATCCAACAGCAAGAGGGTCCCACCGGGTCAACAGAAGACGGCCTCCGGAGGCTGGGCTGACGCCTAGATATTGGCAGCTAGGCTGAGGGTTGGGGAGCATGGTTTTGAGGGCTTACGGTTATTGACACAGCTTTACAAAAGAGGGGGATTGCTTCCAGGGCCACGTTTATTTTCAAAACCTGTTTCCCAATGTGAATGGGATTTCTAGCCAAGTGTCGGGCAACCTGGAGGTCTTGGCTGCCCTCTCTTTAATACTTGCATCTGGGCTTAAGGTCCAAGGGTAGCTGGCACTCAAATGGGCAGAGAAGTGTCATTTAATGTTATTAAACTGCAACGATCAGCTGTGAAACAGCTAAGGGAGCAGCACAGAGGGAAGGGAGCACAGGGAGAAAGCTGGCCTTACGACGGCAATATGAAAGGGGACACACACGCTTCCATGCCCCCAAACCACTGGATTTTGCCCCCTGCTCAGGTGGCAGCCAGAATGCCAAATTTCTTTTGAAATTACATAAAATTTAGAGAAAGTTGAAAAGCTCATTTCAAAATACACAGCCATTTAGATTTCAAGGAAGGAAATGAATCTCCTGGTACCTCGGTCCTCCCCTTCTTTGTGTTCCCTTTGCCCAGAGGGCTCTAGCTGGCTTGTGGACTGGAACTCAAAGTTGCAAATTCAGCTCATTTATCACATGTCCCACAGAACCTTCCTGACTTTCCGGAGCACTGCTAAGGACCACTGTCCACAGGTCTCAGCTTTCACATTCCAGCATCTCGCAAACAAGATGACCTAAATGCACTTTACTGCACCTCTGATGTTTTCCTTGAAAATATCCACTCTGTCTAAAATATATGCCCACGACTGTCTTCCATTGATATTCCTCATACCTACTGTCACAATCTCAAATTACTTTATTTTTGCATTTAAGGACTTACTTTTGTATTTATTTATGACTTATTTTTTATCTATCTTTCCAATATAAGTTTCATTATGGCAGCGATTTGCCCAATGCCTGCACATCATAAATATTTGTTGTCTGAATATTTGTTGTTCTTTTTCCAACTGTTTTGAAAATTAGCATAGAGCCCTACAAAAACAAACACACAACAAATGGAACAGAGTAGAAATAGCACAAACTTAAATATCAATAAGCCCTCATGTTAAATCCCATCTGTGCCACTAACACTATGACTTTGAAAATATTTCTTAAACTCAGTTTCCACGGAGATGACAGTGACTCGGATCATTGAGAGAATTAGTTAATGGCACAATATTTGTAAAGACTAGCAGCATCTAATATGTGAGAGGTGCTCAATAAATGCTAGTTTCTTTTCTCCCTTCCATGTCTATGTTTTAAAAATGAGCTAAATAACATGTTCCCTGTATGGGCAACTTATTTCTTCATATGTCATCCTCTGTTCTT